ATTAAAAGTAAATTGTGTGTAGGTGTTTGTGTGTATATGCCTATATGTCTTTATGCTTAAAGACAAATGGTTGATCATAAAAGTTGTATTACTTCATACTGAATTAAATTGGAGGGAAAGTATGTTTTGTGTCTACTATTCAGAAACAAGAAAATAAGAAAAGTTTGATATGAAAAGAAATTCCTTTCCCTTCCTCAATGTACATAGTTCAAATATTTCCTTTTTATTAATTTCTTTTTTATTGTTCATAGTTAAAATATTTCTTTATTACATTAAAACTACATCCATGTAGCACAGTGAGTGTGTTTTGGACCCCTCTGCTGGTGTTAAAGATGGAAATAAAACAATTCATTTGAACCAAAAAAATGTGTGTTTATGCATGTATGTACACATATATGTGTGTATACATACAAGGTGGAGCAAAAGTAGGCTTATAGTTGTGAGTACAGGAAACACAATTTATTCTTGTATTATTACTTATTAATTATTGTATTGTTTTCCATACAAACAACTATAAGCCTACTTTGTCCCCACCCTGTGTATATACACAAATATAAATATACTAGAGGCCCGGTGCACAAAAATTTGTGCACTGGGGGGGTCCCTCAGCCCAGCCTATGCCCTCTTGCAGTCTGGGACCCCTCGGAAGATGTCCACCTGCTGGCTTAGGCCCGCTCCCTGGGGGATCAGGCCCAAGCTAGCAGTCAGACATCCCTCTGGCAGCCCGGCAGCCCTTGGGGGATGTCCACTTGCCAGCGGGGAGCAGGCCTAAGCTGCAGTCAGACATCCTTAGCACTGCTGAGGAAGCGGGAGAGGTTCCCACCACCACTGCTATACTTGGCAGCCATCAGCCTGGCTTGTGGCTGAGCAGAGCTCTCCCTATGGGAGCCCACTGACCACCGGGGGGCAGCTCCTGCATTGAGCGTCTGCCCCTTGATGGTCAGTGTGTGTCATAGTGACCAGTCATTCCCAGTCTTTCTTCTGTTAGGGTCAGTTTGCATATTATCCTTTTATTATATAGGATAGAGGTCTGGTGCATGGGTGGGGGCTGGCTGGTTTGCCCTGAAGGGTGTCTTGGATCAGGGTGGGGGACCTGCTGGGGTGTCTGGCCAGCCTGGGTGAGGAGCTGATGGGTGTTTGCAGGCTGGTCACACCCCCTTCAAGGTGGGGGTCCCCACTGGGGTGCCTGGCCAGCCTGGGTGAGGGACTGATGGCTGTTTGCAGGCTGGCCACACCCCCTTTAGGGTGGGGGGTCCCCACTGGGGAGCCTGGCCAGTCTGGATGAGGGGCTGAGGGCCGTCTTCAAGCTGGCCAACCCCCCCAGCGATGGAAGCTCCCAGCCACTCCTTTTCTTTTTTTTCATTCTGGGATTTATTTACCTTCTATAATTGAAACTTTGTAGCCTTGATAGAAGCTCAGAGCTGGCCAGGGCAGGTGGGAGGGAAGCCTCCTGCTCGCTCCAACTCCATGGGCACTGCCGGCTAAAAGCAGGTTTCTGGGGTTTATTTATCTTTTATAATTGAAACTTTTTTGCTTTGAGTGGAGCTCAGAGCCCGCCATGGCAGCTGGGAAGTTTGGCTTCCTCCAACATTGGGGCAACCAAGCCTCCTGCTTGCTCCAGCTTCGTGGCTGCCGGCCGCCATCTTGGTTGGGTTAATTTGCATATAGTCGCTCTGATTGGCTGGTGGGCGTGGCCTGAGGCATAGAAAAGGTACAGTCAATTTGCATGTTTGTCTTTTAATAGTGTAGATGTATATGGAACATACATATAGCTCATTAAATACATATACTAGTATACAGAAACTACATAGTACTTATCAAAACAAATCACATATTTTGGAAGGACAAACTAGTTACGAACACAGATCAGCAGATCAATCCTGCTCCCCTAGGGAGACCTAGGAACTTTGAGGTTCTGAACATAAATGCTTCCAGCCTTTTCCAGCAGGCACAATACCAAGGTGGAGTCTCAAAACACAAACATACTCTTGTGGTAGATAATTGTTTTCTTGGCCTGGGAATAACTGTGGCCACATTCTCATGAAGAAAATTGTGGCCTATTTTGCCAGTTATTTTATTTTTCCAGAGTAGGAAAATTCCCACCCTAAGGCACTGGAACTAACATTCCTAAAGAAAAAGGCCTCTTGCTCATGACCATTAGGAGGGTGTTTGTTAACTTCTCATCTATAATGACAATCTCATCATGATGCAGCCACTATATTACTTTCTAGAATTTTCTAGAATCTGGAGTGTGAGTATGTGTGTGTGTGTGTGTGTGTGTGTGTGTGTGTGTGTGTGTGTGTGTGTTTCCTGATACCAACAAGTGCACATGCAAAAATCCAACAGAATTTAGCTATAGTTTACATTAGCCTGTCTTAATAACTGTCTTATTCCTTCATCTTTCTCATCTTTAGGATATTGTCTCATTACTACTTATCCCCATATTTTATGGAAATTTATAATCCCTTGCTCTGAATTTGGCTCTGTAACTGGTATTATGGATGCAAAGATTATTTTATTTCAACCCATACCATTCTGTAAAGTATTTGTGATATGAAAGCCTGAAGAAATATTCCTGCCCTGGATGAGCTTGCAGTCCTGTTTTCTTTGCCATTTCCAGAGAGTCCGTTCTTATAATTCATGCTATTTATAAAACATCTAATCTCGGTATATAATTATTTGGGACCAAAAGTAAAGCACATAATTCCTCTTGATGAGTTTTCATAATGGAACTCTCCTGTCTGGTGTCACGTCAGCAGATATGTATCCGGCCAAGGGCCACCTGTATTGCACTTGTCTAAATATTGGAGCCCATGATCACACAGGAAGAACAGTTCAGGTTTCTTCAAGTCAGTAGCTCTTTTTTCTCTGACATAGTAAAAAGTCACTGATACACTGGAAGAAATAGATATAACAGAAATTTTTGAAAATGGTGCAATTCTGATATGATTTTTAAAAATTGTAGACTTAGAAACTTTGGCTCTGGCTTCAAAGATTTGAACCCTTGGAAAAGAATATTTTATACCATGAACTATAGTTGGGCAAGTTGTAGCCCTTTTCTTAATGTGTTCTTTAATCTCACAGATACAGAGATCCTTAGATCACCTTAATTTGACATATTTGAACATTAGCACTCACATCTCTTAAAATATGGAGCTTTGGAATCCAGTCCTGGGCTATTACCTGAATCGGATTCTGTATTGATAAAACAAGAGACATTCTGACCATGGTTTTAACCCTGAAGATGTTCAAGTCCATTTAAACACACACACACACACACACACACACACACACACACACACACACACACACATTTTAAACAAGAATTATTGTCTTAGATTGGCTTCTTCCAGAGTAGACTTTAAGACAAGGATTAGAAAAGAAGCAATTTGAGAAATAATGAAAAGAAAACATTGCTAAGGGAGTAGGGAAGAGAGATGTGGAAAGGAAGGATGTAATAAAAGATTATTATAAAAAGGTTGGCACTGTAGGCAAGTAGGGCTCTGTCTAGCTGGGGAAATCTGGGAGACATGCTCAGAAGTACATGCTCAGAGTCATCCCTCGTGAGGGGTAAAGAAGCAATGTCCCACTTCACTGGTGATACTATTTACCTCATAAGGTTGAGCCATTAGTTCCTAGTTACTTTCCAATTTCTATCCATCTTGGCACAGCAAGAGAAGCATCCAGAAGAGAATCATAGTTGCTTGAGTCTGACACCATTCTATGTCCCAGAAAAGTGAGTGTCGAGGGAATATGACCACAAATCATTTTCCTGTGCAAACTCCATCAATCCAATTTAATTCTTTGATTGCTTTTCCATATGCAGTGGTCAAATATAGTACCCCCTCTTCTTTTTTTTTTTCATTTTTACTTCTGTTCTAGAATAACCAATTATAGTTTTGACTACTGTAAGTTTTCTCCTGCAGCCACTATTTCTACCACATCCAGCATTCTTACCTCTACATTTAAACTTTATTCTGCATGTTTAGCCATTCTCATTTTTATTTTTGCTTAACTACATCCACCAAGAATAACCATTATAAATTAGAGTAAGAAAAACAGAGTTATGCCTGTATATTAGCCAATCCCTGAGATCACTGTGAGCATTGCCCCTCAAATCGTCTAGGACTGCTGTACCCCAGCTCTACCGCTTCCAGAGTTGTGTGATCTTATAGGTGAGCCTCCTTAAGCTCCAATGTACTCATTGGCAAAGTTGTGCTAATGATAGAGTCTTCCTAACTTCTTGCTTGGAATCAGTTAAGGTAAATATTTTGGAAAAATTTCTAGCCTATAGTAGGTGTTCAATATGTGTTATTATCATTGTTGTCATTATTTGAGATCATTATAATGCTATGCTAATTATTATATATACTACTGATTACTTTGCCAAAAGTATATATTTGTAAAGAGCAAATGGTTGTGTCAAGATGACAGTCAAAATGTCCCACTTCATTGGTAATACCACTTGCCTCATAGAGTTGTTGCTGGTAGGGGAATAATAAAACAATATACCGGGTGTCCCCCAAAATATAACAGCTGATAGCTAAATTTTGAAAATGAAATGTATTTTAATAAGCACTGCCTTTATAGTTATTCAAAGTGTGTGTATACACTTTTTAGGAACACCCTACTTAAAAGCCTAGTACGCAGTAGGCACTATACCCATGCTTCCCCCCTTTGCTTTCCTTAAGGATACGTGCCTTAAGTCTGGAGGTAGTGTTATGATGAGTTTCTTAAGCATTTTTAGAAAGCTGGCCTTCTTGAGTTCAGAAGGATTTTAAATCTACTGGCTCATGTGTCATATTGAACAGTTACAGTGAATTTCTAATGTCCTTTCTAAAATGTGATGAGGAAGGCCAGCTTTCTAGAATTTGCTATGCTTATTTCTGTGACTCTCATCTTACAACTGGCATTTCAGGATGCTCTGCATGCTATTTATGATGATAAGCTTAGATTAATTGTTTCTATAAAATTTGTGCATGTGTTTTTGTCTTTTTTAGATTTAATTGTGGGTGCATTCGGAACAGGAAAAGTAGCTGTTTATAGGTATGTGGTTGGCGGTATGCAAATGTTTTTTTAAATTGAGATATAATTGACATGCAACATTATCTTAGTTTCAGGTGTACATAATGATTTAATATTTGTATATATTGTGAGATGATTGCCATAATAAGTCTAGTTACCATTTATCATCACACATAGTAACAAATTTCTTTTGCTTGTGATGAGAATTGCTAACATCTACCCTCTTAGCAACTTTCAAATATACATACAGTATTATTAACTAAAGTCACTGTACATTGCAAGTCTTATTTAATCTTATAAATGGAAATCTGTGCTTTTAACCACCTTTACCCATTTTGCCCCTGCCCCACACAACCCCTGCTACCTCTGGCAGCCATCTATCTGTTCTCTGTATCTATGTTCATTTTCTTTTTTTATGTTTTTTATGGATTCCACATATAAATGAGGTCATATGGTATTTTTCTCTGAATTTTTTTCACTTACCATAATGCATTCAAGGTCCTTCCATATTGTTGCAATGGCTGAATAATATTTTATTGTGTATATACTCCACATTTTCTTTTTCCATCCATTAATGGATGTGCTTTTCTAATTGTTTCAAATGCACTTCCTTTTTGTTATTGGTTTTGTCTTAAAGAGTATTTCCCAACTATTTATTTTGGAAAACATTTAGATGCTCTATTTAAAATTTGGAGACATTTTTGCTCTCATTTTTTCCCTTCATTTATCCCTCTATCTTTTTATTCTCATACCTCGTGACCAGACTTCCAGCCCCTACTAACATAATGTTAATATATGAGTCCTGGCTGGTATTGCTCAGTTGGTTGGAACATTGCACCATATGTCAAAAGATGGCAGGTTTGATTCCTTGTCAGGGCGCATGCCTGGGCTGTGGGTTCAATCACCATCGGAGTGCACAGTGGGGGCAACCAATCGATGTTTCTATCTCACATCGATGTTTGATGTTTCTTCTTCTTCTCTCTCTCAAATCAGTGGAAACCTATCCTCAGATGAGGATTTAAAAAAAATAAAAAGAAGATATGAATCTTAGTAGAACTTATAAAGTGAAACATTTTTTGTTGTTACTGTATTTACATGCTTCCCTTGGCTTTATAAATGCATTAAAATGTTCTGATAGAGAAGGAATGTGTGGTGGGAGAATGTAACCATGTCCTCTATAGAAAAGTGAGGACACTAAATTAGGGAATAGAAAATAACAGGAATTCGTAGCCTCCAATAGCAAGTATTGAACATCAGCTCAAATGTGACAGATCGGTCAGCTTCAAAAACCTGGCCATTCCCACACACTCACAATTTGTAATATTGGCCAAGTTCTCATCTTTCTGAGCCTCTCATTTTTCATCCATAAAATGGGGATAACAATATTTACTTTATAAGTCTATTTTTGTCAAAAAGCATTAAGTGGGAATCTGCATGCAAAGTACAAGAATAGTAACTGGTAGACAAGTGCTCAACATTTTTAGATTCTTTTTCTTCTTAAAAATAAAAAGTATATGGGGATGGAGGACAACAGGCCAGGATATCAAAGGCAGAGAGCTGCTCCAGGTGTCCTAGGCACATACTGCTAACCTCGCTCAATTCCTAGGGAGACCCTAAGGTTAGGTTTCCTCAGTAGGCAAGTTGTTCTTCACCAGCCCCAGCACTCAGGGCCAGTTTATGCCAGTCACTCTCCACTCAGGTTACAGACAATCAGATGAGTGAACTGCTCAAAGCACCAGAGGATGAGGCTGTGTTTGTTGTGGCCACGAGGATGCACTCAACAGAGCTTATGGAGAGAGACTGACTGGCCACCGGCGCTATGCTCCAAATCCACCACCACATTGGCCAAGGTCAGGTGTTCTCCCAGCCAATGCCTGGGCGCAGCAGGGATAGAAACGCAGGCGCATCCCTGAGAGACCTGGCGCTTCTCTAACCGCAGCTTTGGCTTCCTGTGCTCTGGCTGGAACTCCTTACTTTATACCCTTTCTTCCCTCGCTCCTTCACAGGAATCAGCCGCACCGCAGTCTGGCCACTGGCTCCCAGCCTCCTCCACTCTCACCCATTTTTTTCTCATAATGTTTGCTTCCTAAATGTCTTGCATGTCTAATCCTGTCTTATTACCTACTTTTCCAAGAACTGGAGCTAACAACACAGTATAAAAGACACCCCTGGCTGGCATTTCTCAGTGGTTAAAGCGTCAGCTCACACACCAAAGGGCCATGGGTTCAATTCCCAGTCAAGGGCACGTATCTGTGTTTCTGGTTCACTCCCTGACCTCTGGTTGGAGTGTGTGTGGGAGGCAACCAGGCAATGTGAATCTCTCACATTGATGTTTCTCTCTCTCCCCCTCCATTCCTCTCTTGCTTCCACTCTCTCTGAAAAGCAATGGAAAAAAAATATCCTCATGTGAAGATTAACAAAAAACAAAACAAACAAAAAAAAGACCAAAAAATATATTGAAAGCACAATTATATAACAGACTACAAATAAATAAGATAACAGAGTTTGGGAAAATTCCCAGTGGACCCATCATTGTAATCCTGAAATCGTTTAAAGTAGTGTCCTAAACAATACTCTGCCCAAGGCACAGCCTCCGACCTGTCAGAGAAAAACCATGCGATGCAGCAGCATTTCATGTTGTCATCTGAAGACTTGGAACCAAGGTTTAAAAATTGTCCTGTCCCCTTTCCCTGTGACTTACATTCTCATCTGGTTATGACTTTAATTGAGTTTATATTAGTCCCTCTCCTCGAACTTGGCTGCACAGTAGAATCACCTGGAAGGTTTTCTAACCTTCTAGTGCAGCGGTTCTCAACCTGTGGGTCGCGGCCCCTTTGGGGGTCGAACGACCCTTTCACAGGGGTCGCCTAAGACCATCGGAAAACACATATATAATTACATATTGTTTTGTGATTAATCACTATGCTTTAATTATGTTCAATTTGTAACAATGAAATTGGGGGTCACCACAACATGAGGAACTGTATTAAAGGGTCGCGGCATTAGGAAGGTTGAGAACCACTGACCTAGTGCCTGATCCTGACCCAGTGACCCTAGTGATTTGCTTGTGTGTGTGGGGGGGGGGGGGTGGGGGGGGAAGGATATTACCTGTTTTAAAGCTCCTGGATGCTTATACTAGAGGCCCAGTGCACAAAAATTTGTGCACTCGGAGGGGAGGGGGGTCCCTCAGCCCAGCCTGTACCCTCTCGCAGTCTGGGACCCCTCAGGAGATAACGACCTGCTGGCTTAGGCCTGCTCCCAGGTGGCAGAGGGCAGGCCCAATCCCTAGGTGCAGCCCCTGGTTGGGCTCAGAGCAGGGCTGATTGGGGAGTTGGGGCACTGTCCCCTGTCATGCACAGAGCAGGGTGGATCAGGAGGTTGCGATGCCACCCTCAGTCACGCTCAGGGTAGGGCCAATTGGGGGGTTGGGGCACTACCCCCTGTCACATTCAAGGCAGGGTCAATGGGGAGGTTGCGGCACCACCCCCTGTCATGCACAGAGCAGGGCTGATCAGGGGGTTGGGGCGCTGCCCCCTTTCACTCACAGAGCAGGGCCCATCAGGGGGGTTGGGGCTCCATACCCTGTCACGCACAGAGCAGGGCCCATCAAGGGGTTGGGGAGCTCCCCCCTGTCATGCACAGAGCAGGGCCGATCAGGGGGTTGAGAAGCTCCCCGCTGTCACTCACAGAGTAGGGCCAATAGGGGAGTTGGGGCACTGCCTCCTGTCACACACAGAGCAGGGCAGATCAGGGGGTTGGGGCACCGCACCCTGTCACACTCAGGGCAGGGCTGATGGGGAGGTTATGGCTCTACCCTGGCACACACAGAGCAGGGCCCATGGGGGGCGGTTGGGGCGTTGCCCTCTATCACCCACAGAGCAGGGCCGATCAGGGGGTTGGGGCGCCGCACCCTGTCACACACAGAGCAGGGCCGATCAGGGGGTTGGGGCGCTGCACCCTGTCACTCACAGAGTCGCAGGGCGATCAGGGGGTTGGGGAGCTCCCCCCTATCAGGCACAGAGCAGGGCTGATCAGGGGGTTGGGTGCTTTCCCCTGTCACGAACAGAGCAGGGCAGATAGGGAGGTTCTGGCCCCGCCCCCTGTCACACACAGAGCTGCAGGGCAATCAGGGCGTTTGGGCACTGCTCCCTGTCACGCTGATCCTGGTGCCGGGAGGCCTCTCGGCTCCGCTGATCCCGGTGCTGGGAGGCATATTACCCTTTTACTATATAGGATAGAGGCCTGGTGCATGGGTGGGGGCCAGCTGGTTTGCCCTGAAGGGTGTCCTGGATCAGGGTGGGGGTCCCCACTGGGGTGCCTGGCCAGCCTGGATGAGGGGATGATGGCTGTTTGCAGCTGGTCACACCCCCTTCAGGGGGGGTCTCCACTGGGGTGCCTGGCCAGTCTGGGTGAGGGGATGAGGGCTGTTTTCAGGCTGGCGGGTGACTGAAGCTCCCAACCACTCCTTTTTTTCTTTTTTTTATTCTGGGCCAGCTTTAGCTCTGAGGCTTGGCTCCAGCTCTGAGGCCTCTGCTGCTGAAAGCAGGTATCTGGTTTGTTTGGGTTCTATAATCGAAACACTGTATCAACTCCAGCTCTGAGATCCTGGCGGGCTGAAAGCAGGTTTCTGGAGTTTGTTTAGCTTCTATATTTGTAACAATGTTTCAAACTGCAAGCTCAGAGGTCGGCAAGGCAGGTGGGGAACGTTGGTTTCCTCCGTCACTGAAGCAAGCAAGCCTCATGTTCGCTTCAAGCTGCCTGGCTGCCGGCCACCATCTGGCTGGCACTTAATTTGCATATCACCCTGATTAGCCAATGGGAAGGGTAGCAGACGTATGGCTAATTACCATGTTTCTCTTTTATTAGATAGGATTATTAGATAGGATAGTCAGGAGAACCACTGCTGTGTATGAAGTTAAATCTGTAAAGCATTGCTAGAAAATTTGATGAAACTAAAAAATAATCAAGCAGTAAGGTGGATATAGATATAGTGGCAGGTCCCAGAGCAGTATTTCATAACAACCTTGCCAGAATGCTAGGCACCCACTCCATAAACAAAGCAGGTGTGGAAGGTGGTTTTCCTTGCTGGGGCAGGACATCCTTTATTTGTGTCCGCCAGCTCCCAGATGTCATCAGTTGAGTCTGGTGCCCACCTGCTGAAGCAGTGAGGAAAATTCTTGACACAAAGGGGGGGATGTTGGCGGTGGCCTCTAGAAGTGGGGTGGGCTTCTGATGATGGCTCCCGGAGCTCATTTACATCCTGTGTTTTCTTTCTGCAGAGCGAGACCAGTGGTGACGGTGGATGCCCAGCTTCTGCTGCACCCGGTGATAATCAACCTGGAAAATAAAACTTGCCAGATTCCAGAGTTTATGACTTCTGTGGCCTGGTGAGTTAGTCCATTCAAATCACGCAGGGATTTTGTGAAGGAATTAAATTGGATTGATGGATTCTGTGGAGGTGCAGCTTCTGGGTCTGTCCATCTGGGCAGGCCTGAGACTCTGCATTTCTTTAAAACAAAACTCTAAGAGGTGCTGATGCTGCAGGTCTGTGCACCAAATAGGAGTAGCGAGCATAAGTCTTTAAAACAAAAGCCAAGATCTATGACATGATCCTGATCCTTTGCTGTCAATTTATCACCTGAAGGCAACTTCTCCAGCCTACAGCTCCAGGTGAGATGAGAAGTACAGGTTTGAACTGTACAGGTCCACCTATATGCAGACTTGTTTTAAATAAATACAGTTGGCCTTTTATACCTGCAGGTTTAACATCTTCAGATTCAACTAACCACGGATGATGCATCCCCAACCACAGATTCCCAACTACGGATCTAAAACAGTTTCCATAAGTGGTTGGTTGACTCTGCAGATGTGAAGGGCCAACTATAGAGTCAAAAGTTATACTGCATGGGGGTGAGCAACCCTAATCCCCACCTTATTCCAAGGCCAACAGTATAAAAACATTTGTGAGTGATCCTAATGAAACAAATCTTGGAGAACTCTTTCAGATTCTTGGCATTTTAAAAGAAACATTAACCAAACTGAAAAGATAATAAAATACCTTGACTTTTACATTTGCGTATGGTATAGATACCACTTTTCAGACATATATAACGTCCTTTTTTTATTCAAAGGCCAAGCGTAGGTTAAATTACTTGGTTTCCTGTGCTCAAAACATATGTCGGTTTTCTAATTTAGCCTGTACCGTTAGACAGAAGGTAAACATAAACATAGTGATTTTTGTGTCCTAAACTATATTTTTTTGTGGCCAAGATCTCATCATCAGGAATAGCAGGAAAATTGTGGTTCCTTTGCCTGGGCCATATAGAGTATGGCTTATCCAAGTTCTGAAAGTGCTGTTTTTGAATCTTGCCAGTTATCCAGTTATCCAAAGGGACTACAAAATGGAACTTGATGGTCACACAGCTGGAGAAAATGCCACTTTTTAAAAAATATATATTTTATTGATTTTTTACAGAGAGGAAGGGAGAGGAATAGAGATTTAGAAACATCGATGAGAGAGAAACATCGATCAGCTGCCTCCTGCACACTCCCCAGTGGGGATGTGCCCGCAACCAAGGTACATGCCCTTGCCTGGAAGCGAACCTGGGACCTTTCAGTCCGCAGGCCGACGCTCTATCCACTGAGCCAAACCAATCACGCCTGCCAATTTGTTTTTAATATGCAGGTCCTCGAGGGTCAAGGTCTGTCCTACTGGGCAATGCCAGCAAGGTACATCCTCTGAAAAATCAACCAACACTTGGTGTGTTTGAGATTTGCTCTCATTTTCCAGAGATGTGGTTTAACTCAGTATGTTAGGTTCCTGAGAATGTCAGAATGCAGTCTTGACCCAAAGAAGTTACAGTATTTTCAGCCAATTTCGGCATGCTGGTGATGGCCTTTGGGTAGGAATTCATTCTGAAGTCAAAGCCTTTGAGGGTGGAGGGTGGGGGTGAGGAGGACCCTGAAGAATTCTTTGTAAAACATCCTTCGCTGGGAGCTCCCCATTCTTGGAGGCCTGTCCTCTCCTTAACCAGCTTTAGAAAGTAGCTAGGAAATGCCCAGAGCACATTTTAAAAGGGTTTCAAACCATAAAACATAATGAAAACCTGATCTGAGAAAATATGTGAAGGAACTTGGACAAGCTATGCTCTATATGGCCCAGGCACAGGAACCATAATTCTCCTGCTAGTCCTTACCCTGGAATGATTAAATGAGCATGAAATGAGCTGTGCCAGCTACACAGGCATGAGTATTAGAAATTCAGTATTTCCCCTAATAGTCCTGTGTGTTCACATTCACAGCTGAATGGACTGTATAGGCTGAATTTTTAAGCATATCTGTGTGGCACACTCTGATATAAAGCATTGTTTCAAATGAGATAATTTTTCTAAGGGTTTTTAATATTTTTATAAAATGTAAGTAGTTTTAACAGATGAGATCTGTTTGGTTTTATGGAAAGAGTATTACTTTGTAACAAGAAAATGTCTTTTCATGAACCATTTTCCTGATTGCATTAAATTATTATTAAGATAAAATGCAATTTGTTATGTGGGCAAATATAAAATATATGCCGTTATAATTGTTTATTTTATTCTATTGTATATGTTTTCTGAAAGATGTTTCATTTTCATATTTAAAACGTTGAATGGTGGCTCAGAGCATGAAAATTTGAAAAGTTAATAACTGGTTCAGTCTAGAATGTGTTTCTCTGATACCTTTTAAGTTTGTTCTAAGAATTTAGCTCAGTCTTTCTAAAATTGTTGAAAAACATTTGTTGATTTTCTTTTCTGTAATTTTGGTCTGTATTTAATATAACCTTGTATCGCACATTTGAAACTATTAAGTAAACTTAAATTCAGAAATAGTTCTTCACTTCCATTGATGTGAATTTCTGTGTCTTTCAAATAGCTATGTAGTTTTATAAAGTATCCGCTGCTACTAGAATTTCTAAATTATAAATAAAAACATAAAATCAGCTCAATCAATCTTAATTGTTAACAAATCAGAAAAATTAAAACTATTTAGTAAAAATGTTACATATTATAAATTTAAAAGTTTATAACTATCCACTTTTCAAATCTGAAAAGAACTTTAAATATGCCTAACTTTAAGTAAAATCTTATGTTTGCTATCAATGAAATAGGATTGAATTGGTTAAACTGAAAAATGAATTGCTACTTAAATCCTGTTCCACATTTATCTCATTCTTCCTCCATTATCCATGGCTGTTGGCACTGTTGTATCACAGAAGCATTATTTCAACCATTACTGCATTGGGTTAGGACTAGTGTTAGAGGATTTGTAGTGGATCGTCCTACCTCTGATATATCAGAAACACTATAGACAGTTTCATTTTGAATTTATGTGATGAGAGTGCTAAGTTGATTTGGTTTTTTTTGTTCCTATCAGGCCTATTCAAGCTATAACGTACCATGTTGACTATGACCATAAATCCTAGTTTGAAATTTTAACTCAGTGAATAATCCTATATAATAAAAGGCTAATATGCAAATTGACTGAACAGTGGAACGACTGGTCACTATGATGCACACTGACCATCAGGGGGCAGATGCTTAATACAGGAGCTGCCCCCTGGTGGTCACTGCACTCTCACAGGGGGAGTACTGCTTAGCCAGAAGCCAGGCCCGCAGCTGGCAAGTGCAGGGCGGTGGCGGGAGCCTCTCCCGCCTCCACAGCAGTGCTAAGGATGTGCATTAGGGAGCTGACCTAAGCCAGCAGTTGGACATCCCCCAAGGAATCCCGGACTGCTAGAGGGCACAGATCAGGCTGAGGGACACCTCCCAAGTGCACAAATTTTGTGCATTGGGTCTCTAGTTAATAATAGTTTGCAGCTTTCTTTGATAACCAAGGACTTCCAAAAAAGTTGGACACAGAAAGAAGTTCCAATTTTGAAAGGCAGACCTACTAAGAAATTCAAAGATGCAATTAACTATTCCTCTTCCCTGAATATATCTAATTGAAGTAGAAGTGGGCTGGAATTTGTGATTTCTCTGGGGAAGTGGTAAAAATGCTATAATAATGGAGAAATCTCAGGAAACTCTTGGCTTAATGGCATATGGCAAATTATTTACCCTGAAGGGAAACATTGACTGAGGTCACGGGAGATAGATGAATCCCAGATGTGACACATTTTCATTAGGTTTGACACAGGAAGCTGACACATAATTAAAGTATGATTAGGGATTATTTATTCCTTTTGGGTTCTGCAGAAATATTCTAATTATACTATGTATTTTACTAGCAAAAATGTTATAACTGTCATTAAATCATATTTAAGTATTTTCTTATATTTTCACTTTCTTAGAAATGTGAAAAAGCCCCATCTCAAAGGCTGGCTGTCAGGGATTGACATTTGTCAGGAGGGAGGTGAGCACATTCAGCCAAGGCAGGCAGAGTCAATCGGCTGTTTCCTATTCCTTCCATGGCCACAGAACAGGCCCAAGTGCAGGTCATCCCACAAACTGTGGCAGACACCTCTCTGGATTATGTCCAGGAAAAACTATAAAGTGTCTCTTTTGCACATGTACCCTCTTTTTAGCATCTTTATATGCCATGTAATTGTGCCTTCCTAGCTTGAAACAGCCACTCTATACTCCTTATGTTCTTTCTCTTGCCATTCCCTCTCCTAGTGTATCTGCCTCAAATTGTACCCACCCCTAGCAAGTTGCCACCGAGTTTCTCTCTTCTTCCAAGCAGAGTGGGGATGTGGGTTAATCTCACCATGGTGCTCCATGCCTTTTAGGACTAAATTCAAGTTCTTTAACATGGCTTTCAGAGCCTTGTTCCTTCCCAATCTTTCCCATCTTCCTCTAATGCACCAACCACACCAAATTTCTTCAGGTTCTTCAAATGGGGTTAAGTTCTTGCTCATCTCCAGGCTCTACCACTAGCTGTTCCCCTGATGTACTGCTCAATTCTTCACTCTCTGGCACATGGAGATAATCATTTATTGAATACAGGCAGCAAGCAATTGATTAAACAATCCATTGATTAAATCAGATAACCTCACCAGTCTTAATTATATTAGTGCTGAGGCCAACTGGTAGGATATGTGTATATTTTATATGTATATTTATTTTTTAGTTGTATGTGTATAATAAGTGAAGTATAGAGGAAAACGGTGTATTCATCTATCTAGGGTGAGTTAAGGGAAGAGTTCTACTTCAGATTCAAAACTTTATTAACCAATAAATTATTGACTATTATTTTCCATAGCTTTTCCTTAAGAGTATGTGCATCTGTAGAAGGCCAGAGCATTCCAAACACAATAGGTGAGAGTGTTTTCTTTTTTATACTCCTATAGTATACTAAGAAAAGTCAACCATAAGTATTTCTCTGTGCAGACCTCATAGACCTTTTAATGAGCCCTTTGTTAATACCAAGGTTCCTAGTGTATATATGGAGCCCTCTTTATAAACATTACTCAAATAATCGGTATTAATATTATCTAGAAAGCAGAAATAATTGTGTGGGGGTGTTTCCTGGGCTCAGGGCTGGTGCTACTCACCCACCTCCTCACCTTGCAGAAGTTCTATTTCTTTTTCTGAAGGAACTTCAAATGTGCTGAAGATGTTTTGAAATTCATGCAAGTGAGGGCTTAAAGAGATGATAAGAGAGGAAGAGAATCAAGATGTTTTCTTCCTGTGAGCCCAAGGGAACTCATAGATTCTGCCAACCTCATGAAAAAAACATGATTTGTGTAAAAAACAAGTTTTTTAGTGTGGGGAGTATTTCCTAAAATTTTCTCAGCTCCTCTATTGTTTTTGATCCCAACTATGAAAAAAAAAGTTTTCTACGTAAGCAAATTGAACTAGGAACTCATACCTCTGCTAAAGCACTGCATTCACCAAATACTTTTCCTCTCCTGATTATATTTACTTTATTTCTGTCCTTTAGGCCTGACCGCCGAGGTGCAGTTAGATTCCCTGAAACAAAAAGGTGCCATTAAACGCACACTCTTCCTTGACAACCATCAGTCACATTTCATCTTCCCTCTCGTGATAAAGCAGCAGAAATCCCACCAGTGCCAGGACTTTATGGTTTACCTGCGAGTAAGTGTTCCAGAATCACCTTTCTGGCCTCTCACATTCAGAACCACATTCCAACCACTTTTTTTTTTCCATTTAACCATCAACCTTGTCCACATCATTTTCATTTTATTGGAGGAAACTTTATTTTAAGGCTGCACTCCAGCCTTGAGCCTCACTTCCTTCCACTAACCCAATCATATGTTACTATTAATCCTCATGGTTTCTTTTTGTTTTGTTCACAATCTTGATAATAGCACTAACTCAGGTGGTTTTCATTTGTAACTGCCTCCCCCGCAAAATAACAATTTATTTGAATTTTTCTCCTACATGAGTATGTTTAGCCAGATTTTATCAATGTGCATTTAAGAGCCAACTCAGGAAAACATTTAGGCATTCAAAGCCTTTCTTAAGAGTCATTTATAATTATATTTTTAAAGCAGTGGATTTTTACCAATAACTCCAAACCTACCGTGAAATTTAAAAGGCCAAAATATTTATCATACAATTATTTCATCTTCTCACCAGTTGTGAGGTTATTATTCTTTCTTATTTCATCTCCTCCTTTAATGGACTTAGTGAGGGGAAATCTGGTGAAGGCAAAGTTTACAAATAGGTCTGGAAAGCTGGGTGCATGACCCTGGGGTCTCATTATGACCTTGACTGGCACATAATTGAAGGGTGGCATGTTCACCACAGGGAGTAAGGTGTTCCGTGTGCTCAGGGCTTGCTGCTGATGCTACTCACTCACCTCCTCACCTCAAGGGAGTTCTACTTCTTTTTCTGAAGGAACTTCAAATGTGCTGAAAGTGTTTTGAAGTTCATGCAAGTGGGGGCTTAAAGAGATGATAAGAGAGGAAGAGAATCAAGATATTTTCTTCCTGTGAGCCCAACAGAGCTCATAGATTGTGCCAACCTCATGGAAATATAAATCCCAATTTGCAAAACTTTAAATATTTATTACATATATAAGTATGATTTTTTTTAACTTTGCAATATGGGCAACCTGTGTGAGTTTTGAAGATCTGGAGACCCTGAAGATTACCTCTAGAAGCATGTATTTCAATGAAGCCACAGCTCTAAATGAATCATCTCTGAACACATATTAATTAAGCTATATTAATAGTCAGTGAGTACTTAAGCTCATGATGGTGATGATTACTTCATCATTCACTTTCGCTGACTGAAGTCCAGTGCCTTTCACAGACTAACATCCTGCAGCTGATTCACAGAGCCTTCCTCGACTCTGTCATTATTTTTCCCAGGATGAAACTGAATTCCGAGATAAATTATCTCCAATCAACATTAGTTTAAATTACAGTTTGGATGAATCCACTTTTAAAGAAGGCCTGGAAGTGAAACCGATATTGAACCACTACAGGGAAAATGTTGTTACTGAACAGGTAGGTCCTTGACGGTCTTCATATTCTCAGTCAGGCCCTGGGCATAGCTCCTGTGACCTTATGATGAAACGTAGTCCCTTTTGTCTCATTCCTGCGCACAAAGATATAACATTTGGGTGATTTTGCTAACAGGTTTCCTGAAACACTGCATCATTGTGTTTTCAGAAGCCCATCCCCTTGTGCAACTAAGATTTAATATGTTCAAAATGTGGCTGTAATGGAAGCAATACAGTCTGTAATTCTCAAAACATTGCCAGACTCACATTCTTTACAGACATTTCAGAATGAATTGGAATCGGGCTATTATGTAAACTGGCCTCTATTGGGCGGTCACTGCTGAACACGGGGCTTCTAGCTGGGTAGAATCATGCCTAGTGAAATGAAAGCTTTGCTTTAATTTGTGGAATCGTTTATAATTTTCAAGAAAAAGGATGTGATTCCGGTTTTCCAAGATTATTCCTGATATGTTTTTGCACAACACAGGCTCATATCCTGGTGGACTGTGGAGAAGACAACATGTGCGTTCCTGACTTGAAGCTGTCAGCCAGACCGTAAGTTTAAATAAATAAACTTGTACATTTATCTAATGGAATACAGGTGTTTATTTAAAGCATTTCTGGTGAAAGTATACACTTTCAACTACTACAAAAAATACACTGCGTGAAAGCCTTGAGCTTGGCTACACTTTGCGTTAGCCTGTGGTTTGGGTCAGTTCTTTGCCATTGGTGTCAAGTGACCACCCTAAGGTTTTGCCCAAGCTGTTTCATCTTTCAGCAGAAGTGAAAAAAAAAGTTTTTGTTCAAAGTAAATTCATCTATGGGTTGGTTCAGGTTGTATTTACTTGTCTCAGTTCTGTGGGCAAAGAATTCAGAGACAGGCTGGTTCCATCAACACCTTAGCCAAAACTTTTTATACAGCACCCCATGAATCAAAGGCATCCTCCAAATTGTCAACACAAAACCAACTTTAATTTGCTGGGAGAAATGGAATGGCACTCTATGGAGTAAAGCAGAAGGTGTCACAAAGTCAAATAAGAATCAGAGAGCTGCCCTAACCGATTTGGCTGAGTGGATAGAGCATCGGCCTGCGGACTCAAGGGTCCCAGGTTCGATTCCGGTCAAGGGCATGTACTTGGTTGCGGGCACATCCCCAGTGGGGAGTGTGCAGGAGGCAGCTGATCGATGTTTCTCTCTCTCTCATCGATGTTTCTAACTCTCTATCCCTCTCCCTTCCTCTCTGTGAAAAACCAATAAAATATATATTTAAAAAAAAAAAAAAGAATCAGAGGGCTTCCCAGTTGCCTGTAGTGGCGAGTCACCATCCCAGGACTGGTAATTGTGTTGCATTATGATATGTAAAGAAATGAAATTAAATGAAATTAAATGAAGTAGAATTATCTATGATGGGACAAAACAGAATCATGCTCCTTCACCCCACCCCCCACCCCCAGGACCTGTCTCACTGCCAATGTTTGGAATCCGCTTGATAGCTCTCAAGGAGACTTTCTCCAAACTTCACAAGTTAGCCAGTGTCCGAAGCAATAGCTTTGATTAATGGTCAAAAGTGAAATAGGCATTTCCAGATGTTGGTTCAATTTGAAGTTTGGAGTGAATTAAATTTCTTCAAAATACTTCACAATCCTCAATCAGCTATTTGTGATCTTCTTTTATCTGCCACTTTCTTCCCTCTCATTGTCCATTTCGAATCACACGTCTCCCACTCAGTTTTAAACCCTGTCTCTCTCTTTTTCCCCCATGGCTCATCTTACTTCCTGCTGGGTGTTTTCAGGGATGTGCTGAAGCTACTCATTCTGGCTTGTGAGCCAATTGTTAAATTTTCTAGAATTTTTTTCTGGCAGATTATTAAGTATGTCAGTAGCTTGACATTGACCCTAGTGGGAGGATTCATACCACTGGAATCAGCAAATGTTGCAAATGGTGTGGGGTGTGTTTTTTGAGACCTGGTTGTTAAACATTGACCAGCACATCATTGGATGTTTTCCTGTCCTTCCCAGCAAGACCTGGTTCTCTTGATTCTTCTCAATGCGCCTTCATGGCCATCCATCTTCTTTTTGCCTCAGTCTTGCATTTCCACATCTTTTGTCCTTTCCTCTCAGGTAAGTCCGTAACTGAAATACCCATGAATCCAGCGAGTATCTAATGACCCTGTTAAATTGCATTTCTAGAGATAAGCATCAGGTTATCGTTGGAGATGAAAATCACCTTATGCTCATAATCAATGCGAGAAATGAAGGTGAAGGAGCCTATGAAGCGGAACTCTTGGTGATGATCCCAGAAGAGGCAGATTATGTCGGGATTGAGCGCAGCAACAAGGTAATGCCTACAAATTATTCGAAGTAGTGAAGTGCTAGGTATATTTTGGAAGTCAATCAATGTTAAGTAGAGCCATCTTAGCTGAGAGTTTCTTTCTAAAAAAAGAAAACAAAATAGCACTGTACTTGTTCATCATAATTGCAGTCAGCCAGGAAGGGGGATGGTCTTTCTTGGCCATACATGCAAAGGTACATTGGCTGAAGTTTGAGAGCCATAGCAAGGAAGAGAATACAATTGCTGAAAGAAGTGGCTTACCAACTGATGGATTTCTTAGCTAAATTCACAAGCTCCCTCTTACCCTCACTGGCTGTTTTCAGGTCTTTGTTTTGAGTTCCTTTAAGTTTCAAGCGGGTCCCAGGAGGTCTGGTTCTCATTATAGCTTATGGAGGAAGGTCCAGCCAATCCCAACTGAGCGCTGATAACAACCTAGACAGGCACTGGAAAGGAAACACGGTCATTTTTCTTTCTTCATGGTCCACCTTTTCGGGACTGGGTCCAAGAAAAGCCAGATCTTCGTCATTTGCCAGTCCCGCAATGTCACTATTTATTAAACTGACGTGGATGCTTTTTATAGTCTTTCCTTCCTTGTCAGAACATGAATCTTCCCACTCAGAGCATCCAAAGGTTCAGCTGTGTTTGTGATCGCTTGGCCTAAAATGCATTTTAGAATAATGGAGAGAGTCCCTCATTTTTAGAAATAAGTGGACCCACAATTAAGGGCAGAGACCAAAGTGAATATTCTTTCTTAGCCACCCCTCATTCAGAGCTAGGCACAGTGGGTGCTCCTTAGCAACTTGCTGGTGGATTTGTTCTTTAAAACTATAATTTATTAAATTCACGTGAGTGTCCAAATGCTGCATATTCTGAGGAGTTTGAAGATGCTAATGCTTAAATAATTTAATGAAAAATAATTCCTCTAAAGAGATGTTAACAAACTGTTGTGATATTGGTATTTTATAGGCATTGAAAAACATTGGGAATATAAAATTCTTTATTCACACCTCTAGTCTCATGTTTTATATTTTCGTTAAATTATCTTGCTAGAAAAAAATAAATCCAGGAGGGTAATAATCATGTATCTTTAACAGTCATTATAAGTTTATGAGAAGACATTCATAGAAAAATATCACCTACAAATACTCCCATGGAGATTATACATAAACAAACCAAAAAATGAGCTCAAGCATGTCATTTTTCAATGTTCCAGGGCTCCACTCATTTTTATTACAATTCCTTTCATGCCATTCCCCCTCTGACTTTGTCAAACAGAGCATCCATTCTAAAATGTTTTCCTTTTAGAAAAACATCCAGTTTACTGTTCACTTTTTTGCAAGGAAAGCTTGGATAGCATTCATTTCTGTCTTTGCCTGTAAACATTACAAAAGACATCATCCATAATCTCAAATGAGTCCTTAACTGTTCTTCTTCAGGTGTTTCTGGGACAGAGACTTAGCTCCGTCTTTGAATTTTACATTACTAAGCCACATTCTAATTTCTTCTTTGTTTTTAAGCAGTTTGAGATTTGTGTATTTTTTAATTTAAAATAAGTTCAAGTATTTTTAAAACAATTTTTTCTCATTAGGAAAAGTATTGGGATTATCTGATTGTAAGTTTTGTTATCTTTTGTTGAAAACATTGATCTTTTAAAAAATGTAGACAGTGGCCCGGCTGGTGTGGCTCAGTGGTTGAGCATCAACCCACGAAGTCAAGGTTTGATTCCAGTCAGGGCACATGCCTAGGTTGCAGGCTTGATCCCCAGTAGGGGGAGTGCAGGAGGCAGCCAGTTGATTCTCTCTCATCACTGATGTTTCTGTCTCTTTCTCTCCCTCTCCCTTCCTCTCTGAAATAAATAAAAACATATTTTTAAAAATGTAGATGGTGATCATCTCTTTCTCTGGACACCTTAACTGAGCCAACCTTTATCCTTCCTTTTGGTGACCTTCCTTCTAAATTTTTCTAGAAATAAAGACCTATGTCAGTAGTTCCCAATTTGGAGCACGCACCCCACAGGGGGCAATTTGATTTTTAAGGGGGAAATTTTGAGAATGAGTTATTAAAAGTGAATTTTTTTGCATTTCTTATGGTTCTAGGGGCCTCATATGCAGTATATAAATATATATTGTGACATATTTATGCATTTCAGTTCTTTGTTATATGTTTTGAAACTTTATTTGCTATTTCTTCATATCACTTCATATTATTTTTAAACAATTTCTTAGTGATTTCTTACTCAGTACTTCAACTGTCCTTTCATTCTTTTATTTTTCTCTTTCATGGATGCCATGTTCTTTGGAAGCTTGTTTAGACCAAGATAATGGCCTTTTGGGTTTCCTCCATGTGAATAGTTCACTTTTCGAATAATAAGAATTATATGTCATCGGGGGCGGTATCAGGATTTTAGAGATGCTTAGGTGGGGCATGGCCAGAAAAAGGTTGGGAACCACTTATATGCTTTATCTTTTACTATTATTGCATTAGTACATTTTATGTCACATAAAATTTATCATTTGTAACTGTACAGTTCAGTGACATAAAGTGCATTTACACTATTGTACAACCATCACTACTATCCATCCATAGAACTCCTCTCATTTTGCAAAGCTGAAACTTTGTACCCATCAAACGCTAACTTCGAATTCCCCCTCTTTCCAGGCCCAGTAACTGCCATTCAACTTTCTATCTCTAGGAGTTTGGCGATTCTAGGTTCCCCATGTACGCCACTTCACTCCTCTGTCTCACACCTGCCCCACAGTCAGCGTGTCCAGAACTAGACTTTCCATCTTCCACACTCACATCCCTCCTTTTCCCCTCCCTTTCCCATCTCAGAGAATGGCACCAGAGTGCACGTAATTTCTGAAGCCTGAGTTGGTCTGAAATCTCTCCGGTCCACAGCCTCTATCTAACTGCCGCTGTCACTGCCTTCATGCGACTGGAATGATTTTTCCCTGAGCACACTGTAACAGTCTCCTAACTCATGTCCCCATCTCGCTGCCTCCTGAAAGGAAGCCCTCTTTCTATGATGCAAATCTGACCACGTCATTCTCTTGCTTAAAACCCTCGCTAGCTCCCCATTGCTTTAAGATAAAGTCCAGATCCTTGAGGTGACTAACAATGCCCTTAATTTTGTCCCCTCTAAATTATATACCCCTTCAGCCACATCTTCCCTTTACCTCACACCCTCAATTCCAGCGGACAGAGTTTCTTTTCCATTCCTGTGATAGCCCTGCATGCTCTCACCGGAAAGCTTGTCCCTGCAGTTCCTTCTCTCTGACACACTGACTACTTCCTCCTCCCCTTTATCTGGCTTACTTCTTTCCAGTCATTCTTCAGGCCTCAGTTTACTAACGACTGTGACTGCTAAAATTTATTTTGCAATTGCTATGGGCTGGGTGCTGCTCTAAGCTCTGCATATTTTCTTTCTGTCTTTTTTATAATGCTTTAAGTCATAGCATGATTTTTCTCTGGTTCTAGAACTACCTTTAATATTTTTAGTTAAGTATTTATCAACCTATGTGGGTTATAATCAAATTATTATGATGATTATGAATATCCAAATTTTCATTAGTGAAAATATGTTCATATATATTCATCTAGACTTCTCCAATGTGCAATAATTCTTAGTTAAAAGGCCAAATATATTGTAGTTTTAATAAATCCCACATTATTACAATTCAAATGGGCTTAACATTATCAATTATAGTCTTAATGAGGAGTAAAAAGTTAAAAATTATAAATGTGTGGCTTTTGAAATGAATATGGTATGCTATTGGTCTGGTGTGGAAATGGATCAAAATACATTTACTTAATCCTCATGACAGCTTTATAGAGAAATGGCAAGGCTATCATCACCTCCATTGTGTAGATAAGGAGAAATTGGGTAACACGCAGAAAGTTACATAGCTATTCTGTAGCGGAGCCAAGATTGAAACCTCTGCTGTTAAGTCCAGGCCCCATGCTTAATCACTGCTCCCTTTTCTGGTTGCTTAAATCTATGTGCATGTCCTCCTCTATCACTACCAATTTCTCCTACCATAACCTTAGCAAACTGTATTGTGTTTCCATTGCTTGTTGCAACTGCTTGTGATCACTTACTGCATTTGTAATAACTGAAAATTCAGTGAGGGCAACTGTCTAGTAAATAACAGTAAATATTTTCAGTGAATGAATAAATGCATGAATGATACCCTTAGAGCTATAAATGGATTAGAACAAGAGTGTTCCTGGAACAGCGGAGGAAAATAATCTAGAAATATCTAGAAAAACATTTATTGTTTCTCTCAGAGAGGAAATAAAGGTTTAAAAAAAAAGGGTGATGGCCTGTGGAGTAGAAATAACTTTGATTGATGTGGAAAAGCTATTTCTAGAAAGCTGGAAAAATGTATATATAACTTTTAACCTTTAGATAAGATAAAAATATTTACTATAGAAACTGAATCCTTGAATTATATTCAGGGGATACATGGGCATTTTTTTTAAAGCTTTTGCTGTGTTTCTTTTTTGTTTTCAGGACTGAGTTAATAATCTCAACACAAAACATCTCTGTATGACTTGAGTTAGTTAGTAATTCTTAAGGTTGAATAGATGCTAAAGGTACTTTCAGGATAGAGAATATTACCAGCTTTTTAAAAATATGTTTCGATGAAGGGATTAAGAAAAAGTCCTCACAAATGACAGTATGGTGATTGCCTGAGGGAAAGTGGGGTGGGGGAAGTAGGAGAGGGTAAAGGGAGGATAAATGGTGATGAAAGGAGACTTGACTTGGGGTGTTGAACACACAGTACAATTTACAGATGATGATTATAGAACTGTACCCCTCAAACCTGTATAATTTTATTACCCAATGTCACTCCAATAAATTCAATTAAAAAAAAGAAAATATGTTTCTTACCTCCATCAGAAACTGACATGCCATTCATTTATATTTGGAAAGAGCATGTATTGAAAGAGCCTCCAAATATGAGTGATTCACTCCTTTCTCATTACTTGGGGCAGACTTTCAATGGATGCTATAGGAAGAGAATTACCAGGGTGATTAAGGAGAAGTACTTTATAGTTAGTTGTGTGTTTGTTCATTTCATTGAAGGCTTCTCCTTAGCAGAGTGTGAGCTACTGTCACTGTTATCTCCCAACACCATCTCCTTCTCGCCAAACACTGTTCTAGGCACTGGGAATAGGACAGATACAAAGCCCCCTTCCTCCTGATGCTTATTTTCTCAAAGCATATGATCTACCTACAGAATTCTTTATCTAGATATCTGGGGTTTGTTTGGCTTTTCTTTGTTTTGGTTTTAAATCTTGTTTTTTTTTTCTCAATAAAGTGGAAAAGATGGAATGGAGGATGGTTTCTGAAACTTTTACTTGAAAATTCACATTACTTCTTTACATGAAATTTCAATACAGCTAAAAGAGGGATACATGGTCCTCATATTCAGAATGCTCTTCCATGAACTTCTCATGGGGCACAAATCCCCAAAAGGCTGCTCCTTTGTAACTGTCCTCATCGTGTAAGCTTATCTTTGGGAATGAAGATTACAGCTTTTTGTGAGTTCTTTTAGGAGTTTAATTTTTATTTTCCAATTACAGTTCACTTTCAATATTATTTTGTATTGGCTTCAGGTGTACAGTATCGTGGTTAGGTAATCATATACTTTACATAGTGTTCCCCTTCGATATTTCCAGTACCAAACTGGCACCATACTTATGCAATATTATTGACTGTATTACCTATGCTGTATTTTACATCCCCTTGACTATTTTGTAACTATCAATTTATACTTCTTAATCCCTTCACCTCTTTCTCACAGGTGATATATTAGTAGCACTTACCAAGTTTGATGGAATAATGGGTGAACACGTTGGTTGCTATCACCAGTGGCAGAGCAGGGCCTTAGGGACATTGGGTTTTGAAATATGGTAAGGGCTCAGGGTAGAGAATAAGGTGTGGATTTCTAGGCAGCTGGGAGTAACATGAGGACACAGGTGGAGCTGAGAGCAGACAGCACGAGTTCAAAGATAAACCTTCTTTTCTTTCCCTTCTTCCCTGGTGTAACCTTGAGACCTTCTCCAACATAGTTCTAAGCATCTCTTCAAACCTGAGTTTTTGTACCTTCTAATCAGAATAGGATGAATGGGGAAGAAGGGAGAAGGAAGCACTGGGTCAACATAAAAGTGTTCTCTTTCCATTATAAGTGTTTAGGATTGAACTACGATTGATTGTGTAATCTCAAAATGGGACCATGATGTGTAGAAATTTGTGTTCAAAGCAGTTCTCCTGCAAATGGTCATTGAGTCATATGATCATGTATACAAATTATTGCCATTTCATTTTTGTAAGAATAAATTAGCTGTGTTGAATTATCTGTGATCTTCATGGCCCTAATTTAATGTTAACAGTGAAAATAATTTCTAGAATATTTGTATAAATACTATAGGAAGCTTTTTTGGGGGGAGGGGGGCAAGGAAAACAATAGTTGGGTTTACCACTCTAAAAACTTTCTTTCTAAAATTAAACTTCAATCTTTTTTCTCAAGTTTTTCTTCTGAGTTGGTCACAAATTAATTCTTGGGCACAGCTGCCCCTACAGGTGTTTGAAATCAAGAGGCGCTTCCCACCCCCAGAGTTGCTTTTGTGACAGGATGTGATTTATATGCCCCTGAATCCACCTCGGTGTTCTTTCCTGTTGTAGGGATTCCGACCACTGAGCTGTGAGTACAAGATGGAAAATGTAACCAGAATGGTGGTGTGTGACCTTGGGAACCCGATGGTGGCTGGAACAAACGTAAGAGAAAACCAGAAGCACTTACTGATTTATGTCTAATTGAATTTTAAAAGAAACTAATGGAAAGCTCCCCAATTAGCACTCAGCAATTTAGTACATAGCAATTAAAACAAATTAGGCAGGAAATTACCAGATCAGGGTAGTGGGATTTAGCATTATAACCAACAGAGAGGATAATCTAAGGTTAAAAACAAAGGTGAATACTTTTGTATGCTTTCTCTTTGAACATCACTCTCACACATCTTTTAGTCACAACAAGTCTATAAATACCTTTTTTTTTTTTACTACAGATTTTTTGTTGACTGTTTTCCTTTGGATTTACTACAACTTTTTCTTGAATTAAAAAATAAATACAATATAAATATTTAAGAATAACAATTAAAAATTTTAACAAAGATGATTAAATTTTTATTTCAAATATACCTCCCATATGAATATCATTCACAGTACTTTCATATTAAAATATTATAATAATTCAGCTTTTAAATCAGCTTTACCAGGTACTAGTTGAAGAACTGGTATCTTACTTGAAGAATAATATATTTTACCTGAAGAAGAATACAGAAAAATGTAGCAAGAAAAAAAAGGGTTAATAATGATCTGTAGCATGCTCATGAAATAATGAGTTGGTTTATTTCCTCTTTTCTTCCTCCTCCCCTAGCCCTCACCATTCCTCCTCCTCTTTTTCTTTCTTCTCTTCCTTCACCAGCTTCTCCTCCTCCTCCTTATTTTTCCTTTGTTTCCAGATTTAGGAATTTCCCATTCAGTATTACTTGTGGACAAAACATTTGTTTTATGCAATTGCTGTTTACATGTTTACATAGGAACTTCTTGTAATAAATATCACAGTGGAAATAATTTTTTTTTTGAAGTCATAAATCAGAAACATATTCTGAAATCTGCAAATACTACATAATTAAATATTACATAAACTAAACATATACATTCCCCTATTTTAAATTAGATGTTTATGATGATCAATGGAATGGTTTGTTTGAAAAAAAAATTTATAATTACATAGGTTTGTATTAGAACAACTTCCAAAATTATATTCCAAAGAGACCTTATCCCTTGAGATAGCCTTTAAAGAAGAGTTCTGTGGTCATTGCTGAATGTCATGTCCTCTGGGACTCTCAGGTGCACGTAGCATTTTAAAGCTACTGAGAAGTGCTGCAGTAAATAAACCTCTCAGCTAGAGTTTCACACATGTGTTTGAGCCTTTGAAAGTTTCTATCAAGAAATACCTATTCCCACCCTGGCTGGTGTGGCTCAGTTATTTGGAGAGCCGTCCTGTACACCAAAGGGTCGCAGACTCGATTCCTGGGCAGGGCACACACCCAGGTCAGGGTTCGTAAGGGAGGCAACCAATTGATGTTTCTCTTTCACATCGCTGTTTCTCTCTCTCCCTCTCCCTTCCTCTCTCTCCAAAATCAATTAGAAAAACATATCCTCGGGTGAGGATTTAAAAAAAAAAATGTTAAGAAAAAAACCCCACAAATACCTATTCCCAATTTATACTTTAGGATATTGTGCTAGAAAAATATTTTTGCTTCTTTATATTATAATAAACACTGTACCATTGGTAATGGGTAATTTTAAAAAAGGTACTAAGCTATACAGACTAGTAAGCTCACTTCTTGGTTAAAAACAAGTAAATATTTAAATGAAAGATCAACTTTTATAAGCTAACATGTATTGATGATCCTCTGTATTATAAACCCATTACTGGGTGGTTTTTCAATATTGTCTCATTTAATTTTCACAACAACCAACTACTTTATGGGTCAGGTATTTCTCCTATGTTATGGATGAGAAAACTGAGACTCAAGAGAAGTCAAATGAATTGCCCAAAGTCACACAGGTAATGAAGGACAGACCCAAGATTTGAACCAGGCCTGTCTACAAAATTGTGATGAGTACTTGGGTGAAAACTAATAGGTAACAGATGAGATACTTAAACGAGGCCATGAAAGACAGAATGGAAATTTAAGCTGAGATATTAGAACATTTTTCTTTAGAATCCTTTTCTCTAGAAGCTAATAAATCCTTTTACTAATTTTCAACCACAATCCAACCACCTAATTTGATATAAAGAGTTCTCCTTAAGGCCAAAGAGAAATGAATTGACGTGGTGGCAATGGTGTTAACATCTATAGATGACTGGGCACTAATTTCTTTTTATCAGTATTAAAAGTATTAAATCTAGACCAGAAGTCATCTAAACTCATCAATAACTAAGAATAATCATGGAACAGAAACTGGCCACCAGTGACATTCAAAGTGGAGGGTAAAATGACAGTGTGGTCTTAACCACAAATGTGTTTATGTGAAACCATGTCAATCCGTTTTATCAGCAAGTAATCTTTAGAAGTCAAGGAAGTAAATTGTTTCTATTCATTTATCTCTGAGGTCTATAGTGGAAGAAACCTAATAGCTTTCTTATCTCACTTTTTAATGCCCTTAAGCACATTCAATTTTATTGTATTCTGTTTTGTTATAAAACACTTTGATTTATTTACTTCATTTTGTACTTTAAAAAGAATACTCTCGTTAATGGTATTTTATTCATCTTAATTCTTGGTTTTAGCAATTGTAATTCCTCAGCATTTGAGGAAGATGTCTGAAGGGCATACAGGAAGTCTCTACCTTTGCAACTCTTTTGTAAACCTGAAATTATTTCAAAACATAAAGTTAAAACAATTAAAACTTAAAATACAAAATAACATTATCTTCAATTTGTCTCCAAGTGTATAACTATAAAAGCTTGTAGTCTTTATTTTTTTTTAAATAATCTTCATAACAACCCTATGATGTAGGGAGAGAGGATTTCAGTTTTATGCATGAGACTCTTCTGGCATAAAGGAGGTAAAAGACTTGCCTCTCACTGATGAAAAATTGCTCTGTTAGGTCTTAAACTCAGGTCTCAGGATTCCCAATTTAGTGTTTTTTTACTTTTATCAGGAACTTTGCTGTTTTTCTCTTGCTTCTATCCAATTAACTACGAAATAAAGACAAAATTCCTTCATAAAATAAAAAAAGACTCTCGTGGGCTGTAGTAAAATTCCAAAGGTAAAAGCAGTCCTAAATATTAAAAAACATCATAATAGTTTTCAAGCAACTTTATGTTTTAATTTAACAAAATATTCAAGGCAGTATTCAGAAGTGTTACTTCTGATTTGTAAGTAGTAATGTCATTTTCATAGAATAGCTACAGTAATATAAAATATTTACATACCAATGAGATTCATAAAAATTTGCAAAACCTTTTAAACAGGAAAACAAGAAAATAGTGGTTCAACAATGACTCCTTAGAATCAATGCCCAGAGATCTGGTTTTAGATTCCACTTAAGAACATGTGTATCTTTTACTAGTATGAATTTGTCACACCTTTTATCTTCACCCCACACTGAATTGTTCTATAATGAAGATCAACATTAGGTAGACTTCATCACAATATAGTAAGATCCCCATCACTGGAAGTGTACAAACAATGGTACACTCTTTCTCATCATTCTTTTTTTGTGAGAAACTAGAGGCCCAATGCATGAAATGTGTGGAAGAGTAGGCCTTCACAGCCCCAGCTGCCTCGGCCCCCCTCGCAGCCCCGGTTTTATCCAGAAGGTTATCCAGATGGTCGTTCCACTGTTTGGCCATTTGGTCAATTTGCATATTACACTTTTATTATTATAGATAACCAGTTTTATTGCCACCCCTTGTAGATGCCTCACTAAACTAGAATCTGACAATATCAAGATGAAAATATACATCCCCCATTCAATTAAAAACTCAAAATTAGCGATATCATAGGTTGAGTGATAGGAGAGCAGCAAAGGTAGAGAGAGAGGAAATAAAAAGAAAATTTCTGCCTGATCAGGCCTATGGGATCAGAGGATGTATTACAGGAGGCATCTCTTATCCTGAGTTTTGAAACATGAGCAGGAGTTCTCCAAGTAGAGAAAGCAGGGAAAGGCTTACAAGGTTTCCAAAGAAAGAAGAGCATGTTGCAAAGGCGCAGAGGTCTGACAGAAAATTGCACACTTGGAATAATAAAGGTATTCAGCATGGTTGGGACATAAGGATGCATAGGCTTAATAATTAGACATACTTGGGTTTAAATCCCAACTGCCATTTATCAGCTGTGATGCCTCAGGCAAGGCACATAGAAGTGGGAGAATAACTATTTGCAGGAATGTTTGGAGCCATGCAATGATGTGATATAACCACTAGTAGCTTTACACTAGGGCAGTACCTGGCTTGTAGCACATTCAGTAAGGGCTAGTAAAATGGTGATTTGTGATAAAATTGACAATGTATTATTAGTTCATCTTATTACTGCATCATATTAACCTGAGTTTTTAATTACAGGTTTGATTCTCATAGTGTAGTGTAGTGGAGACAGATTCTGGAGTCAGCTTGGAGGGATTTCAATTCCAACTCTGCAGTTTATTTGCTCTGTATCTGGAGCAAGTCACTTAATCTCTCTACTCTTCAGATTGCTACTTGATTGCAAAATGTCAACAATCACAGTCCCTACCTCATGGACTGGTTGCTGTGATTTCATGAAACAATGCATGTTAGGGTTAGCATAGTACATGGGAGAGGCATTATTATCACTATATGTCTTAGCTATTGTTTGTACCTCATTTATATTATCACTGGACTTATTTTTATCCAAGTTTAAAAATCTGTTTTCAAATTATAAAAATAAAAAAAGAGTTTTAAAACTTTTGAAAATAAAGGTGGAAAAAATAACTTACACATTTATAACTTTAACATAGCATGGTGTATTGTTTGGTATATTTTCTTACAATACATTCTCACTCCTATACAATAACTTTTCCACTGATAGACGTTTAAAACCATAGCTGAAACACATTACACCTACAACATTGTAATCTTTTTTCTTTATTGCCCATCATAATGTCATAAGCATTTTCCACATTGTTGCATAGGCTTCATAGCCATGATTTCTAAGACTACGTAAATGTCCATCATAAAATAGAATCAGAGTTTACTAAATCACTCACCTCGTATATTTAGGTTGTTTTTAATTTGGCACACAACAAGGTGTCAGGAGAAGAGTTGGTCTGGAGCTAAATGAAGAGAGGAAACCAAAATGTATAAGGACTGGCATTGTCTGGGCCCTACTGTCTCAACTGTATGACTTTCTTTCAGCTCTCCAGGATAAAAGCAGAAAAAGGAACAGCAATCCAGAGTGATGTTTTGCAGGATAACTTTAAAATATTTTATGTTGTGTATAAGGTTCCTCCCATGTAATAACGTAGTGTGTTGTATTTGTGTGTGTGTGTGTTTGTGTGTGTTTTTTTTTAATTTAGTATTCTCTGGGCCTCCGATTTGCAGTTCTACGTCTTGAGAAAACAAACATGAGCATTAACTTCGATCTTCAAATCAGAAGGTTAGACCTTTAAATGCCTAACACTCAATATTAAAATGATACATAGTGAAATGAATGCTCCTTCATCTTAAAAGTTCATCTGAAATTTGAACTCAGACTTTCACAGTCCATTTTTCTTTTGTTTATCTCAGTTATTTCAGTTCTTTCATTGTTTTTGGTTCTGAAAAATAGATTGCATTCTGTAGGCCAAGTTATGAGAGTAAAATTTTGTCCTGGGCACCCCCTGCCTCCCTTCACCTCCAGTTTTCCTCATTCTGATGCACATGCCTTCTACCACTTCCACTCCCTCCACATCCTTACCATGCTTCAGGTGGGGGTTAACTAATCCCTAAGAACAAAATTTCTGCAAAAAAGCATAGAGTTTGCATTAGTAATCTTGAAATCTTCTAACTTTTCAAGAATGAATGAGTCTCTCTCTGATGGTTCAATGTGAGCACCAAAGCGAGATGCAGATAAGATCATACATAGGGTGGGGCAAAAATAGGTTTACAGTTGTGAGTACATGAAGCACAGAGTTTTTCTTGAATTATTATTTATGAATTCTTGTGCTGTATTATTTTCCATACAAACAATTACAAACCTACCCTTGCCCCACACTGTATTCGAAGGGCATAGCCTTCTCTGGCAACTATGAGCTGAGTCATACATAGCTTCCCCCTTTTTCTAAGACTAATCCTGCTCAGGAATTCAAGTGTGACTTTAATCTTTCACCATCTATTCTGTTTGCTTCTTCTGGCCGAAAATATTTCACGAGTAGGAAGACCGTAGAGAGCAGTGTTCATGAGGGCTAGGAGTCCCAACTGTGGACTACAACCCATTATCCAGTAATGGAATCCATTTATTGACTATAGACTCATATTAAATTGATGAAATATAATACATCAATTGATGAAATATAATACATCAGAGGCCTATTCATGAAACATCCCTTTCAGATAGATATAAATATATAGTAAGATATCCTGGGAGATATGTACATGTGTGTGTGTGTGTATATATATATATATATATAATGTGGTCTGCAATTTTAAAAGCTTAAAAGACACTGATGTGGACAGCACAAGCAGGCCTTTCATAGTTATTTATAACTTGCTCAGCACGTTCTAATATGAACATCAGTAGCTACAATTTCATTCTCAAATATTAGTGTGCATCATGGCTAATCTCTAAATGTACCTTCTGTCCTGCAAGAGGGTGTCATTGAAGTGTGAGGATTTTTAGAAAAATTATTTTGCACAATGGATTATTTTAATAGCTACTTAATTAGAAGTTTATGATTAAAGAAAAAACTATAAAATTTATAAGAATATAGGCAATTTCAAAAATCTGCAACCTATGTCACGGGCCATATTCCCTACATTTTGTGCTATATTTCCAGGGAGAAGGGTTTTTGATATTCTTTTCTGACCTCAATTGGGTCTTTTAAATTTTAACTTAAATATTTTTTGCTGAATCTTAAATACTTTAAATATTTTAATCCAAATTAGTGATGGGATATAGATAGAATGAATTATTCTTCATTGTACCCTTCATTGTACCAAAAGCTTACTGAATCACTTTTTTAAAAAGCCTATGTAAATGTACATTTCCCAAGAAGCTTAGCTATTCATAAATATTTTCACTTGGGTAATCGGTTAGTATTTGTAAGTTTTCAGAGAAAAAACAACAACAACAAAGAAAGAGTGCTCCAAAGTGAGGACCGCCATCACTCCAGGCGGCAGGCCAGTTTCCGTTCTCACCATCGCTGTCTGTGACATTGACCCTGCGGTGGCGTGTAGCTCTGTGTCACTCGGGGGAAAGGTACACCTTTCATAAAATATGCAGCCTTTATTTTTTTAAAAATCTCTTACAAAGGTGCAAAGCAAATTCCTTAGCCTTTCCCATTACCTTTGACTGCAGTTATGGGTAATAGAATAGATGCAATTTGCAGTTCACTCGGGGAGCAGAGGGCACCAATAATGTTCTCTACCTTCCCCAGTTCCACCCTGTAGATCAGGGGTGGGGAACCTTTCTTCTGCCAAGGGCCATTTGGATATTTATAACATCATTTGCGGGCTACACAAAATTATCAACTTAAAAATTAGCCTGCTATATTTGGTCAAACATTTAATTAACTCACCCCTGATGCCTTGGCAGGGCCAAACCGAATGATATCACAGGCCTTATATGGCCTGCAGGCCAACGTTCCCACCCCTGCGTAGATCATCATTGAAATACTGAATTAGATGATAAAGTGCTGAATTTGATGGAAAGTAGAAATAATCACATTCTTAACATCCCCCTTCATCTAACATCATGACTATTCCATCCTTATATGCTATAAAACTTATGACTATTTTAACATTATTTTGAAAAATATAAAAATGTGAAAATGCAGAAAGAACTGGGGGGGCCTACATAAAGCATCAATCCAAAAACATACATTACAGTGATAAAAGCTTTTGAGAATACTTTTAGTTCTCAAATACAAAAGCATTTGAGAAGTGAGCATTTATCTGCATGCTTTTCTGGCAAACTCCAAAGATGTAAATAAGTATTTAATGGATGGTTTGTGTCCAGTTTAAATGTGTTTAAACCAAAACTAAACTAAACCAAATGCTCTGAACTCTAAAGCTTTTGTCCATATTGACCACTGTTACCCACATTTAATGCTCTTTTTCACAAATAGAACCCAAAAGAAAACTGGACTTTACAAATTAATAAACTTAAAATATTTTGTGTTACCAAATGTTTGCATTAAATGGTGTCTCTATGCCCTGGCACTGTGTGACATGTAAACATTTTCCTCTTTGTGTAGAGTGGGTCTCAGAGAGCAATTCCCATGCACGAACCCATCTTTGTGATCATAGTTGCTGTTGCTCCCTCAGTAATGGTGAAATGAACATTATACTAGTATTGCCTTTGCTGATATTCCAAAGACCACAGAAAGCATAGAGAGATTGCTAGAAAATAGAAAAATAGGCCACAGTAAAGAAAAAGAAAATTGCATTGGAGTAAAAGGTAAAAGACATCTTTATCCTTGATGCATGACAGAGGGCGTAGTCACGGAGAGGAAATTCAGCATTCCTTGCATAGAGCTAGCACAGTTTAAGTAGCTCAGCATCCAGGGCAGTGGCAAATTGCTTGTTTGAATTTAGCAATGATATTAGTGAGGGAGGTTTCCTTTCAGGAAAGTGGTCAAAGAAGTATCTAAGTTATATATCAAGTCTGGTATCTTTCTCACCGGGAGTTTTGTTGACATCACTGGTTGTAGTACCAACTGTCATGTCAAGCTTGTGTGGCAGGATGAATCTGATTAGCCAACCAGATCTAGCCTCCGAGTCTGCCTTTGCTTTCGTTAAATTTCAAAACTGCCTCTGTAAGCCTCATGTTGGACTCCTGTCGATAGATGATTTTAGTGCTTAACATATATTTTCAGGGTGTTGTGGATAATGAAAATTGTGTTATTTGAACCTCTTAGAAAGAAAATACAATAGAATTATGGAATAACTTAAGTGACACTTTCCCCCCATAATTAGAATTTGCACTTCCACAAAATGGTAATGAACTGGAAAATAGAACAAAGTCTAGTTAATCTGTGGAACAAGCAGACTTAAATTTCCAAACTAAAGCGTTCCCATAATGGGTTTGGAACCACAAAGTCTGCAACAAGTGGAGTTTACATAATGACTTCTTATTGGTTAGTAATTCAGAATCCTGCCTTTAAAAAAAGAAAAAAATGTTTTAGTTGACTGATCCTCCCCAGATGTGATAATAATAAAATGGCCTGGAAACCGGTGTTCAAACTTTGGTGAACAAGTCCCCCTAGGCTCATCACAAGCTTAGCAGTGATTCCCATTACAGGAAATGAGCCTGACATTTGCCTGTTTATGTCTTTTATATGTGTTTGCAGTTTAAGTTGCCTTATCAGTATATATAATCGAACAGGACTTTTACAAAGCAATGTGGGAACAATTCTATCTTCTTTGAAAGCAGACTTTCATCCTATCTTATCCAGCTCCCACATTTAGAAAGCTTCAAAAGCCAAACATAACATGCCCATTACCATTGTTGCAGTGTTAGAGCCTGTCCATTGAATCTATGAGATTCCGTGGGAAGAAGAGGTCCTTACTCTTCCTAATGAGACCTGAATATAATCATGGCCTGTTAGTAGTAGTGTGGCCACATCTTAGTTTGCTACAAGCTGCATAGTCCTTTGGGATATGAGGGTGACTTCGATGAAAGCACAGAAGGACAATAAATGCAAGTAAGATTTGCATCCAAAGCTCAGCTACTGGGTCAAGCCTCTTGAGGCACATTTCATCGTCCTTACAGTACTGGCTGCTCAACACAAGTTTTTTGAGAGGAAACACTCACTTTGCCAGTAATTATTTTGGCATAGTTAAATTTTATGTCTACTTATATTTGCTTGAGAGAAAGAAACAGCAAACTTGAAAATCATTTTGCCACTGTGCAAAGAAATATTATTAAACATATATCTTCCGTTTTGAGATTCTTTTTTTAAAAAAAAAAAAAAATATTGATTGACTTTAAAGAGAGAGAGAAACATCCATTTGTTGTTCTACTTACTTATGCATTCATTGGTTGATTCTTGTATGTGTCCTGACCTGGGATCAAACCCACAACATGGACAATGCTCTAATCAACTGAGCTACTTGGCCAGGGTCCCAGCTTGAGATTCCTGATGCACATGACAAACATCCATGTCATCTGCTCATTGCCTCTGCACGAACTGCCCAACTTTCTCTGATCTCCCTTCTTCACGCTACTGGCCAAGCCTCTGCTCACCCCCACCCCCACCCTAGTCAGTCAGTGAGCAGGCAGTGAATGCACACTTATTTTAATATTACTTGAGAAATAAACCATAAGGAAGATAAATTTTCTGCCCAAACAATGTATGGTATGATGCATTCCAGAGCCAAATGCAAATGCTTTTTCCATTATGTGCAGCTTTTGGATTATTCTTGCCAGTCCTCCTTTTCATGAGCATGGAAAATCAGAAGTTGACTATGCTGTCCTTTTTCATTTGATGGGCAATGAATATGATGCCCAGAGAAGTTAAGGAATGTGTCCAAGATAGATGCTGGAAAATGAACTCAGCTCACTGCCTCTTGGGTTTAGCCACTGAAACAGAAAAAGAATGAGCTTCTCTAGATATCAACTGTGCTTTCTGATAAGATGTCTCCTCATGGAAAGTTATATTTATTACTTTTGATCATAATGGATCTTAGCATTTCCATATATAAATGGGTATAATTTTGTAGAATGGATATGCCATTGTTTTCTGAATGATCATGTTGGAAATGTGTGTTGCTTAAATGATATACAGAATGTATTTTATGATCATATATTATAGTAACATGTCTGAGAAAGTATATTTAATTTATATGTCATTGTGTTTTAGTTCCAACAAGGACAATCCAGACAGCAATTTTGTGAGCCTGCAAATCAACATCACTGCTGTAGCTCAAGTAGAAATAAGAGGGTAAGTAATAAACAAAGCATTGTAATAGTTATACTACATATAATAATAGCCTTCTGTATATGTGAGTGATGATAAAATACCAGTAAAAACTATATGGAATTTTCCTAATGCATTCAAGATCACAGTTCACTTTGGTATAAATTTTCATTCTTTTCTACCCATTATTAGCTTTCCATTGCAAAGCAGAGTAAACCCTGTATGGTAATTAAGTCTAAGGATATCAAAACAAGGGCTCACTTTATTCCTCAAACTGACAGTTCAGTAATCAAACTATAAAAGCTGGTGGTAAGAAGACAGATAAAATGGACAACCGTGTGACTGCCTGAAAGTCTCACTTCTCCAGTAATTATTTTGGCATAGTGAAAATTCAGCCTCACCATGCCACATCTTGAGTTTAAGAAATGGCTAACTCTGAGATGTGAGGGTTGATGGGATCTACATCTTATAGCTTTTTCATTCTGTCCTATTCTTTGAAGAAGGTGCCAATAAGCCATCAATCGGGAGACAGGAGGAAAGTGGTCAAGTAAAAGGCTTGAAATAACTACCATCTGGGAAATTCATCCTGTGGGGAAAAAAGAAATCAGTAATGGACTGCATGTAGTTCTTATCTTGTGCAAGCATGGACATCATTACTTTTATTTTAATTCTTGTTTCTTCAGAACAACGAGTCGGCTAAAAAATATCAACTTGTTTGGGGCTGAATTGTCAATGGGACTCCAGCAATCCTAGTTCCCTTTTCCTTTCCATAGGCCTGAGTGTTCACATTCCTCTGCAATGGCAACTATAGGTTTCTGCACTCAGAGCCATTGTCATCTGGCATTTTCTTACTCTGCCCCCTGCTGCTCTCAAGGAAGGGGGGTGTCTACCTCTATCCTGGCACCTCTGAGGCTCCACCTCCTGGGTTAGAGAATAATAATAATGCCTAAGGTTTATTGATACTTCCAGGTGTTACCCCACCGTGTTAGGACATCTGAATGTGTACTAGTGCCCTTGCTATAGAACTGAGGGAGTTTGGGCTCAGGAGTTAAAGGCTACACAGCTAGGAAGTGGGGGCTAGAATGGAAGTACAGGCAGCCTGTCCTAAGTGCATGCTTATAAATGTCAGCTAGGCAACCTATGAGATGGAGTTTCTTGAACGTTATCTACACAAAATCTCATTTTATGTATGCTTTTGTGTGTGTTTTCCATTCAAATGATGTTTTTGACATTCACCCACTTTAGTCCATGTGCCTATAGTTCATTCATTTTGACAGCAGAAGAGAATAACATAAAACTACACCATAACTTATTTATCCATCCTACTCTTGATGAATATTTAGGAGTTTTATTGTTTTTATCTACTTTTTTTGTTTTTTGTTTTTGGTGGTTTTTTGTTTGTTTGTTTGTTTGTTTTTTTACAAACCTTCTTGTATATATTTTCTGACTATCTGAATAGTTTATGCTCAGATGTGGAATTTTAAGATCAGAGAATATACAATGTTTCCATTGCTCCACATTATTACTATTATTATTATTTTCCTCATCCTTTGATCTGTTTATTGATTTTTAGAGAGAGAGAAATGGAGAGAGAGAGAGAAAGAGAAAAATATTGAGGCAAGAGAAACACTGATCAGCTGTCTCCTGTAGGCACCCAGGCTGGGGATCAAACCTGCAACTGAGGTATGTGCCCTTGACCTGAAATTGAACTTGCGATCCTTTGGTCCTTGGGCTGATGCTCTAACCACCGAGAAAAACCAGCCAGGGCACAGTTTATTTACTTTTAAAGTAATTGTTGATAGATTTGTACTTATTGCCATTTTATTCATTGTTTTCTGGTTGTTTTTCATAGTTTTTTTCTGTTCCTTTCTTCTTCTCTTGCTCTCCTCTCCTGTGCATTGAGGACTTTCTGTAGTGTGATGTGTTTGGATTCCTTTCTCTTTATTTTTTGTCTATCCATTATAGGTTTTTGGTTTCTGGTTACCACGAGATTCATATATAACAAGTGATGTTTGTAGCAATCTATTGTAAGTTGATAGCTCTTTAAGTTCAAACACATTCTAAAACTACTATAGTTTTTACTCCTCCACATTTATGTGTGTGTGTTTTTTTAATTTATCTTTATTGTTGAAAGTATTACAAATGTCCCCTTTGTTCCCTATTGACCCCATCCATCCTGCCCCCAACTACCACCTGGGCCTTTACATATGCATAACACATTAATGTTTCTAACATCATATTTTACAGTGTGTGTGTGTGTGTGTGTGTGTGTGTGTGTGTGTGTGTTTGAATTTTAAAACCAAACTTTCTGGGGAAGAAGCACACTTAGTCATGATTATTGTTCTCTTTATATATTATGGGACTCAACTTAAAATTTTGTTAGTGACTTTGGCATATATGTTCATAAGAAATATAAATCTGTAATTTTCTTTTCTTACAATATCTTTTTCTGATTTCGGTATCAGGGGTGTGCCAGTTTTGTAAAATGAGTTGGAATTATTTCTCCACCTGCTCTATTTTCTGAAAGAGTTGTGTAGAATTTGTATTATTTTTTTTCTTAAATATTTGGTAAAAATCACCAGGGAAGCCATGTGAGTCTGGAATATTTTGTTTTTAGTTTGTTTGTTTGGCTTTTTGTTTTTGCAGGAAGGTTTTAATAACTCAATTGCATTCTTTGATATAGAACTATTTATATTCTCTGTTTCTACTTGAGTGAGCTTTGGTAGTCTTTCAAGGAATTTGTCTATTTCATGTAAGTTGTTACATGTTTTCACATGAAGTTGTTCATAATCTCTCATTTTCCTTTTACTGTCTGTAGGAAGGACTTCTAATAATGTCCCCTCATCATTCCCAATATTGGCGATTTGTATCTTCTACCTTTTCCCCCAGATCAGTCTGGCTAGAGTTTAGTGATCTTTTCAAAGCACCAATTTTTTTGGTTCATTGATTTAAAATTTTTTTGTTTTTTTTTTTTTTTCTGTTCCATTGGTTTCTGCTTTTATTGTTATTATTTCCTTCCTTCTGCTCATTTTAGGTTGGGGTTTCTCTCTTTTTTTTCTTTCTCCTTCCTCTATGTAGAAATTAGGTCATTGATGGGAGACCTGTCTTCTTTTCTTGCATAAGCATTTTGTGCTATAAATTTCCCTGTGTTAGTAGCATACATAAGTGTTGATATGTTGGGTTTTCACTGTAAATTCACTTCAAAGTACTTTCTAATTTCCTTTTTGATTTCCTCGAACTGATGAGTTGACTCACAGGAAGTGTCCTGTTTGATTTACAGATATTTGGAGCTAATCTATTTTATTTTTGTGAATTTCTGGTTTAATTCCCCATCCCTCTCTTGATAAGAAAAACACTATTTTTTAAATCAGAAAATAAAACAGAAACATTATCTTTTTTAAAAAATCATAACTAGTATATATATAAATTTTTTCTCCTGTAAATTTAGCTTATCTTTGTTTTGCTAACCAAAAATAAATTGAAACTGTTTTATTCCAAAATAAGTTTTAAGTTGGGAACTGCTTTTATTTCATAAGTCCAAGGAAGCTAAGGAATTAATATAACTATTTTCACATATTCATTTTGTAAGATTAATATTTTTAAATGTATTTCTGTCATCACTTATTGCACTAATGTTTCTAAGTAAAAAAGGTAGAAATGTTTCTATTCATTATACCAATAATCAAAACAGATAATTAAAATTGGGTTTTTCATATGGGTACCAATCATTTTAATTGCTTAATGTTCAACAATAGACCATTTTTTCTCTAAGTTAGTGTTAAAGTTCTTTTTTTAGTCATTTTACAAAATGAAACTCTTTCCTCCAAATACTCAGCAAAAAAACATTAGTTCTAATGTTTAATTCTTAAAAATAGTCACTGTGTTGAAAATCTTCTATGTTTAGTCCTCAGGAAAATCTAATTTTCTTTTTGGCCAATGATCGTTATTCCAGTGTATGATATCATGCACTGTCTCTAAAAGTTCTTTTCAAAATTTAGCATTGTTTTGTAATTTAAAATAAACTCAAATGGATTTATTTTGGGGGATGGGAAAACTATTGAGACTTGTTTCATTTGTTTCCAAGCTAGGTAATGTCAGCACCGTCCTTAAGCAGATGTACTTGTCACCTGTTGGCACAGAGGATTAATTTAGCATAGTTATGTAAGAAGTAAACTTGGTCACAAGAAGCAGCACCACATATATTGCGATCTCGAAGAATAAGAAAATCTTACCTTGTATAAAATAATCAGGACTGAATGGGTTTGTATTAAGAGAGCCTACAATTATGAATAACCATTTTCTGCATAGCTATTATCTACAGCAGGTAGAGCCAACATTGTTCCATAAATGATAGTCTTTGCTATTTTGGATTAATACTGCTGAAAACAGGGATATGAAAATTGGGTCATGACATACTACTACATTATCAGATTTTAACTTCCTGATAGCATATAGATTTTAAATGATCAAAAATCTAATTCATTGCTTTCCCTCAAAGCTCTTCCCAATACCAGTGTTACCACTGAGTACCCTAATTTCCTTATTGCTTGAGGGTCTCTGTGAGTAATGCTCTATCCTGCATCTTAGAATGTGAGGCTATTACGTAAGAGTTGTTGGATTACTGCACTGGCTGTTCTCCTAGGCTAATTAGTTAATTATATTCTTTCTCCATTCCTTCTAAAAAAATAATAACTTTGAAAACATTGAACAATGCTTCCTTATTTAGTTGGGATCTTGAGAGAACCATTCTTTGCCTGGTTTCCCCAGGTTTGGCAAGGTTTTCAGAGGATAGATATGTGAATGCTGTGAGTCATACTTTTTAAATGATTTTGCCACACCCTGTGATAGGTTTCTTTATAGATTTTTATTTGATTTTGTTATAGAAATGGGCCAGGAACTTTCCTTTTAAGTTGTGTTTACTAAAACCGCTGCAGCCCGTGGCTCCTGTGGTGCACTGTATATTGGAAACAGAGTGGATGGTGCTGAGCAAACCTGAGCTCTAATCTTCAGCTGCAATTAAGTCCCTACTTCTCTGGCCTTCAGTTTTTATTTCATTTATAAAGTGAGGGATTTCAATCACAATGTCTCCATAATACTGGCCCCAGATCTACCTGTATGATTCTGTGGTCCCAGAGAATTCATGACCAGTCCTTTAGGACTAATGATCATAAGAACAAAACAAAACACAAGTTTTCCTAGAGCCTCACAATGGATGTAGGCATGATGAAATCAACTCTATTGTTGCCGAGCTGAGAAGCCTAAGAGTGAAATAAAGCTTTGGGTGGTGAGGTCATCAAGACCATGTGGGAATGGAAGCCCAAGCTCTCTGGACTTCCCTCTAATGAAAGAAGCCTGTCATCTTCTAGACCAGCGGTTCTCAACCTGTGGGCCGCGACCCCTTTGGGGGTCGAACGACCCTTTCACAGGGGTCGCCTAAGACCATCGGAAAACACATATATAATTACATCTTGTTTTTGTGATTAATCACTATGCTTTAATTATTTTCAATTTGTAACAATGAAATTGGGGGTCACTGCAACATGGGGAACTGTATTAAAGGGTCGCGGCATTAGGAAGGTTGAGAACCACTGGTCTAGACTCTTCTTTACCAAGTTCCCTATGTTTGGTCTAAACAGGATTTAATCAAATTAAGTAGGTAAAGGATGCAAGACATAAAAGCAAACCACTTTAAGAGTGGAGGATGTTAAGTTATCCCCCAGCAAGGCTGTGCCCTGCACTTTTTATTTAATAATTACACTGTAAGAATGGATGCAAAATACTTTACAATTTAGTGCATTTCTGTGGTTTTCAGTTTTAAAAACGTATTTATAGCCACCCCTAGAAGACAATGCCCCCAAATTAACTTTGACCAAAAGCATTTGAGATGTTTTCCAATTATTTGTGGTGTGCAACCAAAAAGTTTATCTTCACAATTTTCCAGATGAGGAAATAGAGACGCACAGACATTAAATTATTTGTCCTTGGTTCAGAATTTAACCCAATAAAGTGTACTTTCTGCTTTAGAAAGAGGTTTCCAGGGGGAGGAAAACAGATAAAGTTCAAAGTTGCTAGAGGCTGTGTTAATTACCAGATACCTTTAAAAAGGGCATTTAAGACATCTGATTGCCAAAAGACACGATGAAGTTACTTTCAGCTGAAATTCTAGAAAGTCTTTTAAATATGTCTTTAGCTGAAAATTACTAGAAAGCATTATGGGTTTTCTAAGAATTATCTTTTTTGAGATTGTGTGAAAATAATCATTTGGTTTATAATCAGCTTTTAATATGGAATAGCGCCATGTACTACATTCCATCCAGTGCTCACTCTCAAGGTGTAAGTTGGAGGCAAAAACACCTAGCTGTCGAGTTAATATCCTACTTACGTGATTACACCATTTAAGTTACCCTTGAGTTATCTGTAAAATGACTTTAGAATTTGAACAGGCTTTATTTTGTTTTGGTTCCAGGCCTGGCCTTTTGAGAGGTATGGCTGAATTAATAGGAAGCCAAAGAAACCTAAGAAAGAGGAATATACAAGCAGTTATTTTTCTACTATGAAGTATTTCACTGGACATTTAACACCCCACCCAAAATTCTAGACTTTTATTCACACAAGAAAGTCCTATTTCTTGATATGGCTGAAAGTAGGAATTGTATATCCCATACACACACACAGGCATGCACACACTCACACTTACACTTATACAGGATCTAATATATATGTTTATGTATGTATGTATATGCTAAATTATCCACCTCAAGAGATGAGATGAGATGCTGTAAAATAGCCAGTCTCTGAGCTAGAGACTGGTACTTTAGAGCCTATGGTGGATGTTTCAGACCCTTCACCATTCTGATAGTTATTTTGCTGAACATCACTTTCAATACTGTTTTCCTTCTAGGAAATATCCAAATAAACTGAGAGCACTTTCTCCTGGCACTGTGGCACTGACACTGGTGAGGCATTCTTTACAGGTGCCACCATCAGCAGTTAACGTAACTTTCCATGTTTCAGAGTCTCCCACCCGCCGCAGATTGTTCTGCCCATTCATAACTGGGAACCAGAAGAGGAACCCCGCAAAGAAGAAGGAGTTGGACCACTGGTGGAACATATTTATGAGGTAGCTGTTGTCTGGTGAAGCTGTGTTAGCGGCTTATTCATATGCTCTTGACTAGTAAATGTTTCATAGCTTTTTAAAAGACAACAAATCTGAGCTTCATACACTGCCCAGATTTGTGCTATTCTGCTATCATATTGCAATGGAGGAGGTGGGGGAGTGTCTTAACAAGACACTTGTTTTTAGTGGTGAGAGCCATTATATAGGGAAAAGCATCTTATCTTGTTACTGCTCTTCTTTGTTAAATGGTCTTTATTTCCTCTCTTTTTAATGTTTAGACAGCCTAAGCATAAAACTAACGAGCTCCCTAGACTTTATTTCACTTATTCTTACATTTTCAGATATCCTTAAAACCCACCCACATCCTAAACTGAAGGTCGCCAACCGAAGGTACCAGAGGAACTTTTATGTATTACCCACTATTATACCAAAAAAAATGTGTATATAATATATATGATGGGTGGATGGTGGATAAATAAGAATAATTTTACTGTTCATTCATAAGCCCAATTAAACACAAATAACTTATTCTGAGAGTTGAAGTAGTCTGCTGATTAGTAAAATGTTTTCCAGAAACGAGCCAGTGGCTCATGAGTAAACCTGGTCATCTTTTCTCACTTCAAATGTCAAATAGTGAATAGGGAGGAGCTTTGCTGATATAGCATCTGAAACATTTAAATGTTTTACAGTTAGAAGCCAAGATATAGTAAATGATTAGTGTAGTAGTTGTTCATTTTTTTATTTTTTAAAATAAAGTTAATGCTCTCAGTGGAGAGTAGTTATTCCTGTTCATTTTCAAGAGACCAGAAGTGGAATTTTGGTAAAAATGATATTCTAAGCCATTATCCATTTGAGGTTTCTCCTTTTTTAAAAAAAATATTTATTTTTATTGATTTCAGAGAGGAAAGAACAGGGAGAGAGAGATAGAAACATCAATGATGGGAGAGAATCATTGATCGGCTGCCTCCTGCAAGCCCCCAACTGGGGACCAAGCCCGCAACCCGGGCATGTGCCCTGACCTGGAATTGAACTTCGACCGCCTGGTTCATAGGTTGGCACTCAGAGGTTTCTTCTTGATTAATGCCCCCTTTCCTATGTAACCCATGCCACTGATCTAATAATTCTGACTATGACTTCCATTTCAAACTCCACTCTCTGCACTTAACAATAAAGCCATTTCAAAACTGGTGAGCGGTTTACATAGATGGGGAAGAGGCATCAGCTCCTGTGCAGTGTGGACGGGAGCGCCTCTGTCATCTGCCCAGCCTGCGGTTCAGAAGCAGAAGCCCCGTCCAAAGCTGTGCCTTAAGCCCTCTTGATAGCAAAATGATAACACGGTCCCCAAGGCCACTCGGATTAAGAACTTCACTGGGGGAGTTGGGGGGGAGGGAAGGGGCAGGGAAAGTTGTCAAATAATTTATTAAACCTTCTGTGCACTACTTTCTGCTTAAGAGTGGTGAAACTATAAAGTTTGAAAACATATTCAAATTCGATCATTCTCAGGATTCTCAGGGCACGCCTGCTTCTAATCTTAGCATAAACGAATCGTAAAATTTTAGGGTAATAATCAGTAGCGCCAAAAGAAATCACCGAATGCTTCTTACATGTCTCGAAATATACTGCTATCAATGCGTGCCACGTTGTTTTGATAACACGAATTAAATGGGCCACCTAATAAAGAAAACCAATTATAAATGATTTTATTGACCACAACCATTGTCAGAACTGTGGAAAACACACACACAAAGGTCCCTGCTAACTTTGATTTTTTTTTTATTTTTTATTTTTAAATATATTTCTTTATTGATTTCAGAGAGGAAGGGAGGAGAGAGAGAGATAGAAACATCAGTGATGAGAGAGAATCATTGATCGGCTGCCTCCTGCACACCCCCCACTGGGAACTGAGCCTGCAACCCAGGCATGTGCCCTTAGCCGGAATCGAACCTGAGACCCCTCAGTCCGCAGGCTGATGCTCTATCCACTGAGCCTAGCCGGCCGGGGCTAACTTTGAATTTTTAAGACCACAATAAATGTGAATATACTTAGTGATTTTGGTAAGCTGTTTTGTGTCCTGTGAGTTCAGGATTCTTTTGCTTGAAATGTTCATCTCTTTATGGGATGTGGCCTTTCGTTCCCTGAGATTTGCTGATTAAAACAGAAGGAGCTCAGCTTTGAAATGCGCACTTGAAGTGAACTGTGGTGAGCCCGGGCCTTTGGCATTTGATGGATAGCCATGTTTCCAGAAGGTGAAAGAGAGTGCATCACATATGGTTGCAATTGGCAAGTCAGTAGTCAGGAAAGAAGCGATTTCAGTGCAAAGAAAGAATAACTGGGTTTTGAAAGCATATAATTCAAATTGCATTTCTAACACTGCGATTAAATTAATATAAATTTAAGGTAAGCATCACAATGATCAGACATGGTTAATGTGGTCTGTGCAGAGGAAATCTGCTCTGAGAGCCTCACAGATTGAAGAGCCTGCCCTAAGCTCCAGCACATCTTACTTCCAGAGCTCCTCTTGCTTTTAGAGACTCTACTTCTTATTTTTCACAGTCATAGTCCAGATGACGTAAAACCAAAAGTCATGCTTTCCAGAATGGGTGCAGACTGTGTGGAGTTTGAGCTCCTCCTCCTGCCTGTGTTGTACCGTAACAGGATGTGTTCCTTGCTTGTAGTTGCACAATATTGGACCGAGTGCCATCAGTGACACCCTTCTGGAGGTGGGCTGGCCATTCTCTGCCCGGGATGAGTTTCTTCTTTATATTTTTCATATTCAAACTTTGGGACCTCTACGATGTCAAACAAACCCAGATATCAACCCACAGGATATAAAGGTAGGAGCCTGGTCTAACCTACAGATTTGCTTACTTTTTTGTTTATTTGTTTATCCTCAGCTGAGGATATTTCCCAGAGGGTGGTAGGGAGCGGGAGAGACAGAGACAAACATCAATGTGAGACACATCGATTGGTTGCCTTTCGCACGTGTCCCGACCAGGGCCAGGGATTGAACCTCCAACCGAGGTATGTGCCCTTGACCGGAATCGAACCCCAGACCCTTAATCTGCGGGCTGGCTCTCTAGCCACTGAGCCAAACCAACTAGGGCAGATTTGTCTACTTTTTATGGTAAGGAATAAACCAAAACAGTGGCTTATATATATAATAAAAGCAAAGTAATCATGTTTTTTCCATGGTAATTGATTAGACCTTTTCTTTTAGTTTTATAGTTAAAATGCCAGACCTAACTTAAAATATCACACCTAGAAAACTTAAATCTCTCTTAGTCTTATGGTGGCCTGTTATTTATTTAGCCTATTTCTATATGTACTTTTTATATATTGTTTGACTAGCAACACAACCAAACCCAAATCATAAATAGACATGTCATGGTTTGGAGAATTTGTACAAAATGCTATTTTTACAGTATTTTTGGTATATTGCCAAAAGACATGAGGATCTTTGCCAAAACTGCTTTTCCAGCTGTTGCCAATAGCGAGTGTTGAAATGCGATAATTTGCCAAGGGCCATCTCTGTGCCTGAGAACCCCCAGACTAGAATTATGAGGACCCCATTCTTTAGTGAAGCTTCTAAAGAAGCCGAGAGCAGTGCTCCTCAAACTGTTAAGCATATCTCAATCACCTGGAGTCTAGAATGCAGGGTCTTGGGTGAGGTCTGAGACTCTGCCTCTCTGTAAACACTCCTCCTCCCTCTCTGCCCACCTCCCCCCACCCCCCATAGCTACAGACCTGGTTTGCTGGGCACACTTCACCCAATGAGGACCTCAAGCATCCACGGAGCTGATCCCATCCAGATTAAGATTCAAATTTGGCTTTAGGTTCCTTCTGGAAAGGAAAGAAATTAATTAGCATATGCCCTTGAAAATGTCACATTTGAATGAAGGGGATAAAACCCACTTGTTAATCAGATGTCCTCACAAGAGAACTTCATTTAAGAATGACCATTCTCTAGGGGCTGCAGGGATACAGTGTCTCTGTGAGAAATGGGCAGAGGGCAGGCTCGTGAACACTCACTCGGCCTCCAGGACACAGGGCTCCCTCTACTCTCAGGGCCACTGGGACATTGCCGCTGATGAAAAGCTTCTTTTTACAGCCCAACATGCCTTCTGTTCAAAAAGAGGAAGACCAAAGAGAGTTCAGTATTAAAAGATTTATGGGACATCGAGCTTCCTTCTTTATGGGGAAGTAATAAAGAAGACTACTTGTATTCCTCAGAATTATTTAAAATACTTCCTCCCAGGAATTTTACTTTCCATTTTCTCTCTCCTTTTCATTGACATCTCAATGTCTTCAGAGACAGTAGCTTATATTACAAAATTAACATCTTCAAATGTTAATGTAGAACCTCCAAGTAATTAAAACGTTCACATATCCTGTTCTGCAATTCACATATACTCTATTTCAGTCATGGATTCTTAGAGCACATGCAGAAGGTTTCTAACTCTCTTTGAGTGTAATGTTTACTTTATATCTGACACTATTTATATATGTTTGTATATATTATGTAACTTGTTTAATGTGCACCATGTTGGTTGTGAGTTATTTTTTCTTCATTGCAATTAACAATCATTTACAATGACTGGAGCAGTACAAATAGATAATATTTTTTGACAGATTCATGCAAACTGAGTGGTAGTATATACTAAACACCTGTATTCCCTGCTACCCAATTAGTGTTTAACATATAGACTTTGACTTAAAATCTGTCCGTTAGTAATTTTTTAAAAAGCAACTTGATTATGTTTCTTTTATCAATTTTTCAATCTATGGGAAGTGAATATAAGAGGATTTGAAGTAATAGTTCCCTAAAATAACTAATTATTATAATTCATGAATTCTTGAAATTCTGAATTCATAGGACACTTGAAATGTTATTACTTTCAGGTTCTCAATGCTTTAACCTATACTCAACAGGCATAAAGAGCTTTTATCAATAATTACATTTTTAAAATTAATAACCAGTATATTTTATATAGTAACTATAAACAATTGAGTACTTGATTATTTTCCTCTTAAGATATTAAATAATTTATTGGTGAAGTCACTATCAATTTTCTTGACAATTTATTTCTTCCTAGATAACTCAAAGCTAAAATCTGTTCTCTGTCTTAAAAATTAGTTGGAAATTAGTAAGGAACAAATTATTTATTATATCTTGTTATCTTCAAAAAATTGGTTTGGGAAATTTTAAAATTTAACATCAATTTCAGGTTCTTACATCAAAGATAATTGCTGCTTTTTAAAAATTAGAACATAGATGGTTTTGATTTTTAACTACCTAAAGTTATTTTTTAAACTTGGTTCTCGAAGAAGTACAGAGCGGGTAGGCTTAGTAAAAGGAACAGGGGAACAGAAATATATCTGTATAGTCAAGAACTAAGTCCCAACATCAAGTCTGGGTGGATGAAGGTAAAAGTTTTTACTCTTTGGCTCAACAGTTTCTTTATAAGTTGAGTGATAAGTGGTAAGTGCCTTTAACACATCTGCCTCTGTGAGCAACCCATGTTCTGTGAATCCTTTCTGAGCACGCCCTGGTCCCACTGGACTAGCCACCAGAATACTCCAGCTGTGGACCTGCCAAGGGGGAACTACCCCACAGCTTTCAAACGCTTCCTCTGGAGGATTTGCGGAGTCCCCAGCCATGTCTTCCTCTTCAACCATTCCATTCATTTCCTTTCAGCAAAATCCCTTTCTCTCATGTTCACATACATTTTTTTAGTTAATGTCTCCCTCCTGTATACATTCTCATTTTTAACTACCCCTGAAAGTAGCTACCTTCTCCACTGCCTCTTTCCAACTCTGATAAATTCCTAAGGAAATTTGTTTATGAAAAAGCAGCAGTTTCTGGGCCACACACTCTAAGGAACCATTGCCACCAACTCTGAAAACTTCGCAAGCTCTTCCCCAACACCCCCCCCCCCCCCAGCCTCTGCAGAATCTCCACATTTTCCTCTAATTAAGGGTATTAGCATTTAATATAGTGTATTTAACACAATGATTTGTTTCCGTGGTTTTTTTTTTTAATCCTCACTTGAGGATATTTTTTCATTGATTTTTAGAGAGAATGGAAGAGAGAAGGAGAGACAGAGAGAAACATCGATGTGAGAGAAATACATCAATTGGTTGCCTCCTGCAGGAGCCCTGACCAGGGCCCCAGGCCGGGGAGGAGCCTGCAACCAAGGTACATGCCCTTGACTGGAATTGAACCTGGGACCCTTTGGTCTGCAGGCTGATGCTCTATCCACTGAGCAAAACTGACTAAGGCTGTTTCTGTTTTTTAAGTTACTCACATAGCAACTGTCCCAGCTTTATTTTTTATTGCAGATGCATAGTTTTATGTACCAAAGCCATATTGTGCATAAAGTAGATTTGCTTGTGGGCTGGCCTGAGAACTGGACCACCATTTAAAACATCATTTTTAAAGAGAAATGCATGCTGAGTGCCAGACATCTAGCTTAAAACTTTCTGAAATACAACCCATATATAAGTTGAATATACAGTATATTGCAAATATGGTTTTGCTTACATAAACCTCAAAGTCCAAAAAGGCCTGAACAGGGCTCAGTTTTGATAACAGAAGCTGGTACAGTTTGGTTATCCCAGCAAAGAGGCCTAATATCCACAGGGTTTGAAGCACAAATACTGACAGCCTTTGAAAGCCACCATCATGATCATTCTGTAACCTGTGGCTGTTTTAGGAGACAGTAGGCAAAAGATCTCACCCACATACACCTTCCCTTTTGCCCAAATACAGAGCATCAGCAACTAAATTAAGGTTGTGGGCGGGGGGGGCGGGGGGGGGGGGTAGTCAGCAAGGACGTAGTCAGATGCCACTAGAATTGCGTGAGTTTTTCATTTAAATATTTGCCTCATATCAAGCTTCATGGAGCTTCACTTAGCCTGCTTTGTTGACACTGTTGAAATATCTGAGTAGGAGGGTCAATGGAATCATGGGTAGGTGGTGGGTGCAGGTAAAGCTAGGTGCACTGCACAGCCCAAGTAAATGTGAGGGTGTGGCAGTGCCTTGGGCACATTCACTGCTACTTTCACTTCTGCCTCCATGAAAAGGTTCCAGTGTTGGTTGCTGGTTTCTCCATGATGGTTTCACTTCACCAAGTGTCTCTGTCTTCTATAGACGTAGGTGCATAAGCAGACGGCTTGAAGGTTCTGACTCCAGGCTTCACAGTCCAGAAGTGCAAGACTTTAATGTGGCACATTCTACCATCTAAAACATAGGTTCTCAACCTGTGGGTCGCGACCCCTTTGGGGGTCGAACGACCCTTTCACAAGGGTCGCCTAAGACCATTAGAAAACACATATATAATTACATATTGTTTTGTGATTAATCACTATGCTTCAATTATGTTCAATTTGTAACAATGAAAATACATCTTGCATTTCAGATATTTACATTACGATTCATAACAGTAGCAAAATTACAGTTATGAAGTAGCAATGAAAATAATTTTATGGTTGGGGGTCACCACATGAGGAACTGTATTAAAGGGTCGCGGCATTAGGAAGGTTGAGAACCACTGATCTAAAACATTTTGAAACATTCAACTCTGCAGCATTCAGTCCAATCTATTAAATCTAAATTCATCTTAGATCCAATTTGGAATGAAATGTTAGAGTTGAGTAAATTATTCCTCAACTATTCTTAAGGCAGTCAAATAATGATTTCAAACTACCAATTTTCTTATTTTGGTTGAATCTTTTCTGAGGTTTGGAGAGTTCTGCAAACAGGCTATGATTTCTAGATAAGATGAAGTTGAAAGAGTGAGCACTATTAGGGAACCAACATGGCATAAAGAATAAT